TAGATCATTATATAAACCTTTAGATCATTATATAAACCTTTAGATCATTATATAAACCTTTAGATCATTATATAAACCTTTAGATCGTCATATAAAACTATTATGTATTATTTTATAACTTTTTTAGATCGCTATATAATCTTTTTACATGTTATATGTTATATGAACCTTTTAGATCATTATATAAACCTTTAGATCATTATATAAACCTTTTAAATCATTATATAAACCTTTAGATCATTATATAAACCTTTTAGATCGCTATATAAACCTTTAAATCATCATATAAACCTTTTAGATCGTTATATAAACCTTTATATCATTATATAAACCTTTTAGATCGCTATATAAACCTTTAGATCATTATATAAACCTTTTAGATTGCTATATAAGTTTTTTACATGTTATGTGTTATATGAACCTTTTAGATCATTATATAAACCTTTAGATCGTTATATCAACCTATTATGTGTCATTGTATACAATTTTTAGATCGTTATATAAGCCTTTTAGATGGCATACTAATATGATATAAATTGTATACAATATCATAATATTTTTAGATCTTTAAAAGTTTTAGATGTACATTATTCAGAGTTTTAACAAAATCGTTATAAAATAAATAAAATACTGCAAGATTATGAAGACTTAAAAAGGATATCAGTTGCTTTGGTAGCGATGGGAACTATCACAGCCAACGTCCATCACAATTTTGTGACGACGGAACCCGACACATGTTTGGAAATTAAAATAGGAAGAGTTCCCAGGAATTCTGAGAAAGTTAATATAATAATGATCCGTCAAAGACGGCGAACATTTTTAAATCACTGCGTTTTACAATGAAACAAAACATGGGAAATTGTCGTTGATTATTTACAAAGTTAGCCGCAATTAAATCAACATCAAGCCTTCGGTCGAACACGATTCACAACTACCACGACTTCTAGCAGCTCGTGGTCATGTGTTCTACTAACTCTCATTTAAAAATAAACAATCGAACGCAGCAGGCGTGGGAAAAAGACGATTCGTCAATGTTAATGATGTAAGCGGTATTGCATTCACTTCTGCTCTATACTGCACGTGAATAGCAGACACCTTAGATTATGTGGAAAATGTCCGTGTTAAGAGCTTTCCTCGAGAATTAAAGCCCCTTCGAGTAAACACCTTACAAAGGTAGCATTGTTTTAGTAGGTTTTGTAGATTTGTTTAAAGATGTGTTGTCCCTGGATTAGAGTATCGGTAAAATGTCGAGTATCGTGATCACGGGGTTGTTTTCTGTATTATTATTGTATGATTATTGTTTATATTAGTGTCATATAGGCATCTTCGTTTTACTTTGGCGCCCTTTTCTGCTCACATGTTTGAGCCTCGATCGCCGCCTGGATTTTCAAGTCCCAGAGACTATCCATTACACTCTAATTCGAATTATGTGATATGAAAACCACAACAAAGTTGTACAAAGTTGTCACATAGTATTCCAGATGGTCGTCTGGTTATTCGTGAGGCTTTCCTGTACACTCTTGGATTCCATAAGTCTGTCCAAGACGATAGCTCTTTCCGACCTGCGAATTCTCCACAGCTGAAACGACCCCAACCCCGTTCGAAAAAAACCCCAGAAACCTGTGAGGTAATACTTCCATACGTAATTCCAACTTTAAGGTCAGCTGTAAATCTACGATTGAGTTTACCAGCCAATTTAATGTGGGTTTAAACGTAATCTAAATATTGACAGACAACAGGTGAAAGATCACTGGTTTTTAACTTCTTAATCGATTCTTACTCTCACTGAGGTGACGACGGATTTAAGTTAGTGTTTTCATTCGAATTCCTTCGTAAAGCTCGACATATTTTAACCTTTCTCCCGATGTTCCAAAGTATATAGCGAAGAGCTAATCTGGATAAGATCTATGATTGTAGACTCTGAACGAGCGCCATCTTCCCAATGGATCTCCCCAACAGAAAGCATTCCGGCATATTACCTACGGCATGGGCTGAACGTATTTCCTTGTTGACGGTTCCCTTGAACGATCACGTCCGTTTCCTTTCTTCGGAAGTATCCAACTTGATTAGTCTAAGGCCTTCGACTCTTCACGAGCACAATCTTTCCCTTGGAACTTCCCCCAATCAATTGGTACTAGGGTATACTTAATTCTTGCTTCTTATGACATAGATCGAACACGTTTCCTTGTTTATGGTTTACCTCAAACGAGTACGTCCGTTCTCATAGACGGTAGCAATATCTACGTGTCCGAGTTAACGAAATGTCGGGCGTAAGACACGGTGGAAATTGTGAATGACGACATTCCAACAACAACGTGCCGAGTCTAGCATAAGATTCTATCAAATAAATAAAATGTTTGAAATTCGACGAACGTTTGAAGTATGTCAAGTAGGCCAATGACTTTGAAGTAGATTTACGATTTTTTTGATTTTTTTTGTATAAAATTATGAATTAATTGGAGTGTAAGTTTGATTCAATGGCATTAATATGATTAAAAAATTCTGCAATACTAAACATATTCATGTGTCATCAACATAGTCTTTACATGATCTGTACTATATTGATATGCTCTCTTATAGATAATGCTCTCAAAATATAAACACTGATTTGTTATCCCCGTTGATATGATATGCTCTCAGCCTTCTTCGTGCTTTGTGTACTTTGTATGCTCCCAAATGATAACAACCGCTTTATGTTCTCAAAAAAAGGTTTTAATGCCCGCAAATTTGAGATCTTCTTTCATATACTTTTTTTTATTTATGCTCCATTTTCTGGTAGAGTTAATCTCCATATTCAATTCAATTGTTTTTTAAGCGAAAGGAAATCAAAATACCACAGGAATCCAATTCATATTTTGGTTACGTGTAAAATTCAACGAAAACATCGAGGCGGTTTAAAAGTTATAAGTTATGAATGAGTTGATGACGTCAGAACGTCTTTCCTTGATTTGAAGAATATAATGAAATATGAATAAATTCAAGAAGGTTACGACGGTCAAGTAGTTTGCCTTTTGAAATATTAGACGAGCTACGTGTCGGCCATTGCAGCATTCAATTCATAAAATTCACGATTTTACCCATTTATTTCCATTGATAAGTGATTTTTAAGGTAATCGAACTCGGTTATTTGGTGAAATCGTGAGGTCTAATGGATAATTACTGTTAAACGAAATTTTGTGTACAGTTTATATGGAGCATATAGTTTGTGTATAGTTGATTTGGAACATCGACTTTGTGTATAGTTGTTTTGGAGCTTAGATTTGTTCATAGATGATTTGGAGGTCATTCGGTGTGGAGGAAATACTGGACATTCAAGTAAATACACGTGTAAAATTATTTAAACAATTAGAACTTTTATCAAAATAATCGGAACCTTTATCAAAACAAATGGAACTTTTATCAAAACAATTGAACTTGCCTTTAGAAAAACAATCAGAACTTTGGTATAAATATTTAGAACTTTAGTATAAACAATTAGAACTTTAGTATAAACAATTAGAACTTTAGTATAAACAATTAGAACATTAGTACAAACAATTAGAACTTTAGATAAACAATTAGAACTTTAGTATAAACAATTAGAACATTAGTACAAACAATTAGAACTTTAGATAAACAATTAGAACTTTAGTATAAACAATTAGAACTTTAGTATAAACAATTAGAACTTTAGTATAAACAATTAGAACTTTAGTATAAACAATTAGAACTTTAGATAAACAATTAGAACATTAGATAAACAATTAGAACTTTAGTATAAACAATTAGAACTTTAGTATAAACAATTAGAACTTTAGTATAAACAATTAGAACTTTAGTATAAACAATTAGAACTTTAGATAAACAATTAGAACTTTAGTATAAACAATTAGAACTTTAGTATAAACAATTAGAACTTTATATAAACAATTAGAACTTTAGTATAAACAATTAGAACTTTAGATAAACAATTAGAACTTTAGTATAAACAATTAGAACTTTAGTATAAACAATTAGAACTTTAGTATAAACAATTAGAACTTTAGATAAACAATTAGAACTTTAGTATAAACAATTAGAACTTTAGTATAAACAATTAGAACTTGAAATAGTCTGATGTTAAGATAAACTAGTATAAGAACTTATTTGAGAGAGTTTTATTTTCAATTCGGAAATTTGGAGTATGTTTCATTAATATGGGTTGAGCATATGAAGTACTTTTGACAATATTAATGTAACTACGGAGGGTAAATAGTGAATTATTGAGGGAAAAGGCCATCTGCTCACTGAATGAAAAATATTTCTCGCTGTGGTCAGTATATAGTAATTGAGACTGGGACTTTACCGTTAGTCGGCGTTATGCCAATATGACATGTCAAATACTTCCCTTTTTTTTTTATTACAGTAACAAACTTGATGGAATTGTTCTGAATAGAATGTTCCCACGCATAGCTCGTGTCAGTCTCGCGTTCGACGTATTCAACTGTCACCTGCTCGGCGAAACATGGATAACTAACGGCTATTTTGTCAACAAAGTTTCTGAATTCGTAAAATACGACTTCTTGAAATTAATAAAAAGTTTTAATTAATAAAAAGTTAAGATTTTGTAGAGCCTTTGTTATTTTTTGGAATAAAATTTGAAAGTTTATTTATGTAAATGATAAGTTATAAGAAAATGCTTGGCGGCAAGCACGTGGTCTAGTATATAGTTAGCAGACGACAGACTCATTATACCGAGGACTGGGCGAACATCTGTCATCAGAAAACAGCATACAGCCAATCAGAAGCCCGAGTGTCAAACGCTGGCTCAGGAGCGTGCACGAGAAGCCACCGCGCGCCTGTCAATCAACGACCGTTTGTCACGACAACTGTGCATTGCGTGCACGCGGCCGTACTTTTATCGCACGTATTGCAAGACCTTGTGTTAGTTTTGATTGAACGTTGGTCAGGAAAGGACCTATATCCGCCAGGACACTCTTACTTTATATTGTGCCTTCCTTTAATTTTGAACTTGAAGAAAAATGAAACGAAGCTTTAGCGATGTGGACAGTGATGGAGACGATGTCTTTGACGACGATTCTCTGAAAGCAGGGTAAGTCAGAGTTTCCAGTTTAATATTTCCTCTAATATTTTCTTATAGTAACCAACAGCAAATGCAACGGTAAATATTTGCGTTTCAGAAACGTTCCGGCCAGCCGTTGGTACATGCACAGACTTAGTCTCGCTTATTGTTGGACACGTGCATAACATTATGCAGACCCGTGATCTACATGTGTACGCAGCCGCTCGCCGGACATGTTTCAACTTTTGTCTGAAATTTTCTTAATCATTTTCGCATTTAGCTTTCGGACGTCTTTGGATACTTACGTTTGTTCCATTTTGTGAATAAATTTTTTCTCAAGTTATTGCATAACTATGATTTTATGCACATGCGTGTTATAATTGCATGTGCGTGTACGTTTGACGATGTGCAGACCTATCATGTGAATCATTGGTCACCACAGAACAATGGAGAATTATTTCAGAAAATTACTTCCGATGATGTCATAGTCTTCGAGTTCCAGGATCAATTTTCTATTTTCCGGAACGAACGTAAAAGTTCTCTTCCGAAACTCCTTTATCAACCTCGAGCAAAACTTATTACTGGAAATTATTTTGATGGATAGTGCTTTTAAGACCATTTTTGTGTCGACTTAATTTCTTAAAATCTACAATCTTAGAAGTGAGGAGGGAGTTGACAATGTCGAACAATGTCGAGGAAGACAAGCAACATCGAAATTTGATTTGATATTAGCCAAGTGATATATCGGATGCAAAGAAATATTGTGCTTAATTTCATAATTTTGTTTCAGATCCCCATCCTCTCAGAGCTGCCAAGTCACAGACAGAAAGAAGCGTCGAGGGGTAAGTAGATATTTCTCTGTACAAACCTTAAAGACAGAAAAGCCGGTTGGAGCGTTGGATAGAATTCTTGACATTGTGATGTACCCAGAGCGTCAGGGGCCAAAATTAATTTTCAAAAATATTCCAAAAAGATTGATTTTTAATGGTATTTTTTTTCATTTATAGATTATTGAAAAGAGGAGACGAGACAGAATAAATTCAAGTCTCACAGAACTTCGACGTCTCGTTCCTTCAGCTTTTGAAAAACAGGTAAGGCACATTTCTATTTCTTTTGAAATTATCAAAAATTGATGAATTTATCCACCTAATAAAATTGGACGATGGTTCGGAATAGAAAACAATAACAAAGATTTGAATTTTTAAAAAAAAAAGTGTTTGAAAAGGTATAAGACAGGGGTGTATATTGGAACCCTTTCATTTATTATTATGTATCAATGACCATTAGATCTAGGTGTAAGCCAGGGTTGTACTTTATGACCATTCTTTTTCTTGTTGCATATTTATAGACCGAGTCTTTTCTCATTTTTGAGAAGGATTCTTTTGCCATTTTTGAAGCCTTAAATTTCAAAACTATCGTAATTGTATTCTGAGTACATTTGGGCGAAATTTATGAACGAAATGTTATCCTCAATTGTCAGATAAAATTTGAAATCTAACAAGGAAACGCAATAATTTTTTTTGAGAAAAAGAACAATAACTCAGAAATAATTAGGTATCAATTTTTAAGTAAAAACATTTGTTTGGGTTCAGCTGATGCAGATAACGGAAAATGTCATCCAATTAAGAGAATTTATGAGGATAACTTTATCGTTGAATATATTTTTCTAGACAATTAATATACCAAATCAAACATTTATGTTATGTGCTCACCACAAAATGTCAATTTTCAACACAAGTCTTGTCCTTTAGCGTATTGCTTCGATAGATTCTCGTGATGTCCAAGTTTAATCCATATCAATGTTTCCAAATTTTAACAATTTTTTCCACCTCTCTAAATTTTCATAATGTCTAATTTCTATTTTAATTATTATTTTCCACATTGTCCATATTTGCTGATGTCTTGCACTTTGTTTAACGACAATTAAGAATGTTAAATTTATTATGCCACACTCGACACAGTTGTAGAAGTGAACTAAATCTAAGTGAAAAGTCACAATTAAATCTCAAATAAAAAAATATTAATCGAAACGGTTCAAGTGACTCTTTAATTAGACATTGGTATATCAAATAAGTGTTAATATTTGTCGACAAAAAATAAACTTTGGACGTAAGTGGAGTCGGATATTGGCCATTTAGACAGTCTTTTGGGTGCGTGAGTACCAACGGCTATACGTGTTGAATGGATCGTTTTCTGAAAGCTGAAAACCGAGCCATGGACACTCCCTTACTTTGTAGATTCGGTGACAAAAGACTGGCACGCTTTTGGAATAAGCTTTACTAATGTCATAGGGTATGCCCGACGGTCAATTTGGTACCCTTTGAGTTTGAATTGAACCTATTTTGCCTTTTATATTTAGGGTCGTTGCCTTGAATAATCAAAACTTATTTGACCAAATATTTGAAAATTTGGGATCTGCGGAAAACGTGCCCAGACATAAAATTGACAATTTTTGTCATTAAAATAAACATTTATTTATTCTATCAAGGTGTGATATTTCACAGCTAGTAAAGTTAGCTCACTTCCCGAATTCCATTCAGCCCATATATTATGTTCTTGGTAATGTTTGGCAATTCGGAATATTTTTGGGGGACAGTAATATCCATCCACCCATACGCTTATACAATTTTTAATTGGATAAAAAAAAACGCATAAGCTGTCTGGCATATCTAAATCGGTGACCGGTCGAATTCCTCCGACCCAGGAAAATTTAAAAAACAAAGTTCGTGTTTACTTTATGAGGGTCGGGGCACCGAGTTTGTGAGAACTCTAACGGATTTCTTTGATTTTCTCAAGGATATCTGATCACATTTATCGATATGGCTCTTGCACATGCCGGAGTAAACGAACTATGCTCAAAACTTATGTCAGTGTTGTTTTTGAGACCTGGGTGAATTCGTTTAATTCGTCAAACCCTATTGACTTCGGCACATTTTCCACTATTTGCTTCCGTATATACGAAGTCGTTTTATTTGCATTAGAACACCCTGAATGTTTGCTGAATTTATTTGATTACAAACTAAAGCGAATAGCATTTACTTGGTGTAAACCGTGGTGCATATCTAGACTGGTAAAAAATTTCACTAGTGTTTTTTCTGTGCGAACGTCCCCCGTGTATCTTGGCTGGGAGAAAATAACAAATTTGGGAGAAAAGCTTCGATATTCACCCTTGTCAAATTTTTAACCCCCGTTTCGATTCGGTGTGATTATATTTGCTTGGCGTTATAGTTTAAAATTATTTGACTTTATATCAATAATGCAGACATTTGTTCAATTTACTCAAGTTAAAATGGTTGATTGTCTGTGTGTTTCATTGTCAAGTGAAATATTTTCTATTCGTTGTCTTGAATATACTCAGTACGTTCGATATAACCCAATGTCATTTTCCCTAGGAGAAATTTTAGAATAGTGACACCAAGGAATTCTTATCATATGTAATATTTTGATAGTAGAAGTATATGTAGGTGAAACTTGAAATTCGTCTTTTGAAAGAAATCTAAAAATTGTGACACCATTGAATTCTTATTATTTGTAATATTTGATTGGTAAAAGTATATGTAGGTGAAACTTGAAATTCGTCTCTTGAAGGATTCAGCTTTTGTGAATAAAAACTAATGAATAATCTTCTTATCTTTTCAGGGATCAGCAAAGTTGGAAAAGGCAGAAATTTTGCAAATGGCAGTGGATCATTTGAAGATGTTGCATCAGAAAGGTACGTTCCTGAAATTAATTTGATATTTTGGATGCATAGGGATATTCCGATGCTTTATTGCTTACGTTACGTGGATAGATCGCGGTTGTAGCCATTGTTCGTTTGATAAAGGATGAACATATTTCAACCAGAGTCTCCAATGTGTTCACACCATTAAAAACAATGAAGACCACAAAAATGTCCAAACCGTTGCGATTAGTAACATAAAAGTTTTAGATCTAAGCGTTTGACTTGATCTTTTTGTATGTGTTTTGGCTTTCACTCAAACAACCTGTCGAAGTCGGTGTGTGTTAGTATGAATTACCCTTGTTTGCTTCCTCATCAACGTGTCTTGATCACCAAGACCCACATTCTCTATGCATTCCTTTGAATTGTACCCGAATGATCGCGGCTATCCAAACTTATATGCTTAGCCTAAATTAATCGTGTTTGTCTCCTAATCACTTATACCCGATCACAAAGTCGTTTGAATATCTTCTCAAAACTCGCAATTTCGTTCGAAATTCTTTCTGGATAACCCAAACTATATCAATTTGTCGTCTGCTCGGGGTCTGCAGAAAAACGCGGGAAAAATCTCTTTTACATGTCGTCTGTTTTATGTAGAAATCACGTGAAGCTTATTAAAGGTGGATTAGCATGAGTTATCGATATAATCCTAGCAACTGGTGTGAGAACCAAATTTTCACCGCCAATATTTTGCCAGATTTCTTTTTTTGGGTCTCCGTCATGAGAAAGTTAGAAAATCGAAAGGCAGTGTTTGCTCTCGATGCGATGAGTAAACTAGCTAATCTTTTTCCATTTTTTATTTTTATTTGGTTAATAGAATATTTAAAAAACGCCAATTGCTACCGAAATCCAAAGATAAACTAACTGGCCTTGCTCTTGATATATTTATTTGTGTGATTACCTTGATTAACCAAGGCATATTAGCCGAGAGATCGGACTTCACAGGAGACATGATTGCGAAAGTGAAAAATACTAACGAGTAAGGATCATCTATATTAGCAGACAAAGAAACCCCAAATATGATCATTATGTGTTCACAATCCTCATGTGTTTCTTTTTGTCCACTTCAGGTATTAACTCGTACAACTTCGACCCACACACCCTTGCCACAGACTACAGAACAGTTGGGTACAGAGAATGTGCTGCCGAGGTTGCCAGGTACCTTGTTGCTGTTGAAGGATTGGACATCCAAGATCCTTTGAGGATGCGTCTACTTAGTCATCTCCAGTGTTATTCAGCTCAACGTGAAGCCGCTAAAGCAGCTATGCCCAATTCCAGTTGGCCACCAATGGCATACGGAGGGTACAACTCTCAATACGGGAGTTCCACCATACCATCCATGGGAGGAGTACTCAACACACAGCATACCCATCAACAAGACCATGTTTCCATGACGTCTCAAGCTCAATCAGTGGTTCAATCGACGCCATCTTTCACCGACACCAGACTTAACCAATCAGATTCTTCCTTACATTCACATATGCGCCTTCAGTCTTCCGGAAGTGTTGGATCCCACGTGTCTTCCATGAACAGTTCCTCCCAGGTGTCTCAAATCTCCCCTCCTCTCCTCTCATCCTTCCCTCAGCTACATTCCCAGTTTTCAGTGCCTTTAACCGCCAATTCTATGTCCCAGAACATGGCTCCTATATACAATCCTTCCACCACGACAGCCGGCAACCATAATGGCGTCAAACCTTATCGACCATGGGGTGCTGAATTTGCGTACTGAAAAGGCGCAGATCTGCCATAAAACAGTGCATTAAAGTCTTCTGATAAAAAGAACTTCTCAACTTGTATATAAGATTTTATTTATTAAAATTGTTCACTGGATCATCGTGACAACGAAGACATTATTTTCCAGTTAACTTAATTCATTAGTGCTATTGAAATATTAGAAACTAATTGGAAATGGTGGTAACCAACGAAAGATTTCGTGATGGAATATTTACAGTTGTGAATGCATCATACAATAACTATACCAAACAAACTATGTGAACTCTCTAAAAGGGATTTATGATCAAGAATTCTGGAAATTCATCCTTGTTTGTCTTGGACATTGAATTATCCAATTATTTTGGCAGCGTTGGTGAGAACTCGAACCATTCATGTGTTCTTTTGGACCTTATAAATGTGCAAACAAACTTTCTATCAAATATTTTGACCTGGTATTTATGTATGAATGTATTTGGATCCTTGGCCTTTTATACTATTAGCATTATGCAATATTTTTGACACAATATTTTGACTTGTATATTTTTGAAGAAGTGCCCATTTTTTGTCACAATTTTGCATTTTATAACTCGTTTGTAGTCTGTATTTTTCAACAAAAAAATTGCAATATTTTTTACAAATATTCACACATAAGTGCTTTCTATATTTTTGATAATTTGTTTTTTCAAAAGTGCCCAATATTATCACAATTAACTATGCAACGACACCTATAATTTTTTACATTTAAAGGGAAACATCCATCTAATTATTCTGATAGTCAGTGAATAATTTAAGACTGTATTCCCTTTAATTGTGTTTGTATGATTTATAAATATAACTTGTAAATATAAAATTTATATTATAATTTGTCTCTTTGTGTTTTTTTTTTATTTATTCATTAAAACCAATAGTGCTATTTTGTTTCGTCATATATGATTTTTGTATTTATTATAATTTTATGTTATCTTCCATGTTCTATTATTTGATGTTATGACAAAAACAATGATTATCTTTTTGAATTGTGTGGAACAAAATCGTCACGAAATTTTGATTTTTATTTCAGTTATAAGATTCAAAACAAAATTTGAATTATTTTGATTTACTTTGTTTTTTTATTCAAAAATTATTTTGATGAGAATGTCAAAATGAAGACCAAAATATCTGTTTTGTTTTGTTTTTTTTAATTGTTTTGAAGTTTTGTTTTAGTTTTATTTATTTATTTGTTTTGTTGTTTTGGTAAATAAAATGATTAAAATTTAAAACAATATTGTAGATAAAAACAATGTTTTAAAATTTGAAAAAAATTCAATAAAAATCAATTTTGTTAAAGAATTAAAAATGACTTTATTTATGTAGTTATGGCAACTGATATATTCCCCATCTCTCGCAATTACTGGTCGTGGAATTAAACTTAATTTTAACTGAGGAGTTATTCGAACCCATGGTCCGTGATCGCCCAGCCTAGCACACTACAATCCGGCTAACTTTCCCCTGTAAAGATTCTTTTAAAAAAAGATAAATATCCGACTCGCTAATCGCCTGAACTATTTCATAAAATGGTATGTCGTCATCTTCAATTTTTTTTTTCTCAATAATATCCAGACTTCGACAAAATATACATAAATGAAATTTAATGAATGAAAACAGACGACATTTCGGAGGAGAGCTGAAGTGTGACGAAACACAGATGCGTAGAAAGTGTCACGCCAGCGAAATATCGATTTACTGTGGTTGATATTGCCAGATGGTTTAATATACAACATTTAATGTTTACCGGGCATTATCATCAATATACCACGGCTGAGCAGGGCATTATTGTTCATATATCCCAGCTAAACGATATTAATTATCCATTCCATCTTCTGGCAGTTTGGTAGTGACACTAGCGTGACACTTGGCGTCATTCCATTCAGTATGCAGAAATGAATAACGGTACATTACCGTTTATTGCCCTAAATTCGTTTATGTTTTATAAAATCAAGTAAATATATTCATACAAATTTTGATGATCATCATTTTTCTTAAGGGGTAGTTGAATTGATTTTTTTTAATCTTAAAAATATAAATAAAATATAAGAACACTTGTTAAATTTTTAAAGAAAACTTTTTATATTTATTTTACGTTTTTTATGGATAATTTCTGCTAAATATATAAAAAGACGTGGTCACATGAGAAATCCTTGCTTTACTCCATTTCCAAATATATAATTTAATATTATCAAACTATTGTTTGTGGTCTTATAACCCTGTTTTTAGTTTGGAAATTGGGTTACAAAATTGTGTCAAGTTAGAAGTTAACAATATTTACGTAAATGTTTGTTGAATTTACAAATATTTATGATTACTACAAAAACATAAGACCTTATTCAATAATTTCAAACACTTTAAGCACGATTTATTTTGCTTAGTTTTTATTTTGAAATTATGTTTGAAGCAGTCAAAAATTCTTGTTTTTATTCTAATGAGTTCCAAACCATTTTGTATTTTGGCAGAAGCTTTTTAAGTGAGTCGCAAAATATTATGGTCGAAATCATAGTCTAAATTGCACAATCGATTTGAAATTTCGACAAAGATATCTCAAGTGACCCGATGAAAATATAATTTATGGAATTCAAAATTATGACCGGAATGGCCTGGATCTTTATGAGTTTTCTAAAAATGAAAATGTTGAAAAAGACGCGTGTCATATTTGCCCCCAATTCCGAACAGGGCAGTACCGTTATAAATTCATCCTAAGTTAATTGAATAGTGCCAGATATTGAGATGGTCTAAATAACTGAAAACAATTAGCATCCACTTCTCCATTATCTTACTCCACGTGCCGACACGCGCCAAGTATCCATCACCTGTCCCATAATTCCACTGTTCAGTGTCACTTCCATAATTCTCGTGCGCTATGACACGGCGTCGCGTGCAAGTAAGTCGACGTCATTGTTGTCACTCGTACTGTCCTTGACTGTACAGAATTAACTGGAGCGAAACCCGAGACGTAAATGCGTAGATGAATAAATGAATGAATAATAATTTTTTTTTTTTTGGATTAATGAAGCCTTTTCTGTAAAGATGTATGGAGGAAGAGCGTTGTCCATATCGTATATTTTTACATAGAATAACGATGGATAAAGTACGTCGCTTTGAGTTATACAATATTAAAATTTAAAAGTTCTAATTATCTATAACTATATACAATGAAATAGGACTGAATATGTCTCCTTGCTTGATTACAACTGTACTGAAATTGTATGATTCAATTATTGTCATGATAGGTTTATGAAATCTGTGGTAATTTCCTGCCTTTCAACTTTGTGAAAAAAATTTGAATTCATCAACACGTTTGCCTATTCAATTGTTTCCTGTTCGAAATGGCTATGAATTTAAAACTAGAAGATACGAATCTTATATTTTTCTATTTTCAATTCGAAAATCTAATCAATTTATTAATGGAATAAGTCTTCGAATTTCGACACGTGTTTGTCTCGAGGAAAAATATCGATTTTCTGCCAGACTTCAGTGAATTTAAGCCCAGGTGATGAAGATGGGAGTTAATTGATAGTTCAGTGTGATATATTGACAATAATGCCCCGTTTACTGTGGTATATGAAGCTGATATACCATAGTTAATTTCAGTAAATGAATTGTGTAAATACCTGACACGAGCGTGACACTTCGCGTCGTGTAAGGTGTGTTCGTAACGGTAAATCACAAAGGGCAATAACTCAACATTTTAAAGTAATTGTAGTTTGTTTTAATCCCTATTTTGTAACGTTCTATCTTTAAATACTTAAAGAATGGATCATTCCTTGTACCATAGATATTTAGAAAATAACCCAAGAATATCAATCGTGAATCTTTAGGCTAGAAATATAATATTTGTGATCCTATTGCACACGGCGTGGTTTTCTCCCATTAGTTTTTTTAATCATGAGCAAAAAAAGTAGGACTTGAAACTCATCGTATGCTTTGGACAGTGGAAAATTGAAAAAGGATAGGCAGAGGCTAATGCAGTCGTTTTGGCAACATTTTCTTCGGTGTTTACATGTTCATGACGCTGTTCTTCATCAGCTTATATAAGAGCAGACAGTAGGATATTTTACTCCATTACTTTTCATTTACTCCATTCATAACAGCAACGATCTCTAACGGTACCTCTTCACCTTAATTGAACCTCAAATTAACTTCGATGAATACAAGTTGATAATATTTAAAGTGTCAGTTGTCTTCGCCTATTCATAAACCATAAATTTTGACAATGACAAACCCGCCGAAGCTCGGTGTCATACCGAATATCGGCACGCGACGCCGTGTCACATAGCACACGACAACTATTTCATTCAAAAATGGACAGGTGGCGAATTTTACATAGTCGTAGCTTTCCAGCCTTTCGTACAAATGAATGTAAAAGGTTTTATGAACTTGTTGATCGCGATTGCAAAAATTGCCATAAACGTGTCGTTTAAAATGTAAACTGTATCTCAATAGATGATTTTAAGTAGGTTTTAAAATTTTTCAGGATTAATGAAAAAATGTTTCAAAGGTGAAAATCTTGCATCCGTTTGCATTAACCACACCAATGCATGCTGGAGAAAATTTCGATTTAATTTGCTTATTTATAAAATCAGGGTGAATCTCTTAGGGGGCCTTTGTTGTTAAGCCAAATCCCTTTGACAAGAAAAAGGCACTTTGTTGGTCAAAGTGGGTCTTTATTCTATGAAAATGTATCTTGATAACCTTAGCATTTTTATTTAAAAATTATTCGCGATTTATACGGTCTCTTGGGTCATGATATTTACAGTAATTGATCGTTGAACATTTGGTACTGGATAATAATGTATTTTATATTCTAATGATATGCTTTCTTATCATAATAACTGCATAAATAAACGATAAACTGGACAATTAGAAACCATTTGGCTTGCTAGTAGACAACAATCGGTGCATCCAAATGGGGAATGAGGTTTTCAATTTGTATTAAGTTATTGTGAACTCCGTTGATACTTTATGCTGATTTAATGTCCAGTTTCTCAAGAGGCAATTATGAGGCGTAAATGGTCGTAAGACAAGTTATCTTTGTTAGGCAAGGCGCTCTACTGCGACCTATACTTTTCATAGGTAAAAAAAGCGGCGATGTTATCATTTTTGGTTAGAATCAATTAGTATACTGCAAATATGTAATACTCTTCAAATGGTGTATCACCCTCTCTTTTCTATGAATCTTAAAATGGCTTTGGGTAATTTTACAAGAAAGTTTTGAGTCTTTAACGAACCTTAAATAATCGTCAGCAATTCCACTGAGGTTCCAAACTAGAAATAAATAAATTTATAAATATTTGGTGAAAAGTCTTTAATAACAAGCTGACATCATGTAACAGGCATCAACAATGGCGACCATCCACCTTGTTAAACATAATCTGGTTTAATTTGCAGCTTTCAGTCTGAAACGATGAAATTACAGTAATTAACACCCAATTGGTCAACAAGAACTGACCGCTGTCCGAAGACCTTTGACCAAAATAACATCGCTTATCTCCCTTGATTAAAAGGCACGTGACGTTAATCCGTGGTCGTCATTGTTTCAACGTAACCTCTTGTTTAACTATTAGTCGGCCATCTTTTATTAGCCTCGCAGACGTAATTCATGTCCATAACCTTACGTGACCTCTTGCAACCTGGCCATATTTGGACAAAAGAAGCGACATCTTGTGGTCAGTGTTTACGCTGGAATCGGTACAGATTAATTGGCGAAAGGAAAAGTTAGTAATTGGCTTAGTTGTGTAGTTAACTGACCACTGCCATAAAATGCATTGCATTCGGAAGACATCATTTTGGCAAAAGAGGAATTGAATAAAAAAAATATATGGCCAATTTATTCTAAGCTTTAAAAAAAAGAAAAAGAAAAAAAACGTGACCTATTACAACCTGGTCGTATTTGTACAAAAGACGTGACATCTTGTGGTCAGTGTTTACGCTGGAATCGGTACGGTAATTGACGAAAGAAAAAGTTAGTAATTATTTTAAGCTGACCAGTTAACATGATTCGATCGCGCGGCACCAAATAGTCTTTTTATTCCTTAATTTTGTAGCTGAAAAAGTCTTCAATTAGGATGGTCAGGATGGTTAAGTCGGATATACAGGACTACAATATTATGATGGAAAATTTCAGTCTGGTTTATCAAGACTACGAGCAATTTAAACTCAAGCTATACCCCTGTAACCCGAGACCCCAGCTGAACTTCAACTCAGTAGATTAAAGCCGAACAACGATTGGATAGTGAGATTTTTTTAACCAAAATTATCTCTTCGAATTATTTAGTCCTTATTACTTGTCCCACAATTACCCCTTTGGATGAAATTGGATGAAATTTTGGACATATTTCCAGAGCGTAAAAACCTTTAAATTGCTTTCCCAATGAATTAGAATGATAGAGAAGTCCAAGGTAGACAACTCCAGAACTGGTAAATGGGAGTGGATGCCCCTCTCCTCACAAATTTACCTTACTACACACTGCGTGGCGTTGTTCATCTTCAAAGTCCAATTAGGAGCTGAAAAGTTTGACGCAGAAGCCCAAAGGCTTAAATTTTTTATTTTGAGTAAAGATTTCAAATTTAATAAGTCATTGTAGTCTTTAGCCATTCGCTTTTTCTTAAAAGGAGTTGTTTCCCTTAGACCGTTCCTAGACAAGGGAATTTCTTTTCTATATATAGCTCGGATGTGACGTTGTTCATGAGGGAAACCCTTGCCGAGGTGGCTGTGCTATTATTTATATTAAATGAATCAAAAACAAAACATAATTGGTATATATTCAAATGATAAATAGAAATTACATGTGAGTTTTCAACTGTCAGTATTGTTTAGTTTTGTTTCCTTGCATCCAAACAATCTTATTAGTCAGAGCGTTATAAATATGGGGCATTTCATTGAAATTATTAAAAATGCATTGCGATGATGGTATATCATAATTCTGCTAAAATGCCTGTAGGAATTTGTTTACCTGCGTTAATTTATAGAATATTACATTCATGGTGTTCACGTCAAAGATTATTTCGTGGAATAGTTCTCAGGAGATGCTAGTCTGAATATTTTGTCTGTTGTATATTTTGTTTAGTCTGAATATTTTGTTTTGTCTGAATATTTTGTCTGTTGTATATTTTGTTTAGTCTGAATCTTATGTTTAATCTATTTTTATTTGGTCTTACGATTTTGTTTTGTCTGAATATAATATTGTTTTGACGTGTGGAAGAATTTGTGAGATTTTGTCCAGTGCAGACTATTAAATGCTTGAAAATATGCTTGTTCATTCTACTTTATTTAAGATGCAAAAGCCAATAACATTTTGATCATTAATTTTCCAGACTCTGCAGAATGAAGAAGTTTAAGATGCAATATAGATAGATAAGACATCAGAACTATTTTACCAAACCATCTATAATATAGTAAAAATGATAGTCCCAGTCAATGGAAGACATGGTTTTTACCTCGCTTCTTTATTTGTCATGTTATTTGTGGCCACAAATTTTGTCAACAAGGTAAATAAGATTTTCTGTTTCCAAATATCTGAAGAATACAATCTAAAAACACTCCCTCTCTTAAAGTAACAACATACAAAATCTAGCATTAGAATTTAGACAGCTCAAAGGCTGCTGATAGTTAGGATCTTGGATTTAAATGCAGATAAACCATATGTCAGATTATTTTTTGAAAAGTATGATGGATAGCTGAAATCTGATAGAGAAAATATTTAGACAACTATATAGTCTACTTCTAAATACTTTTTGAATTTTTCAGTTTGTGCTGTCAGTTTTAAAGTTCACCTACCCTACCATTTTTCAAGGGTAAGCTATCTTTAATTTTGATATATTTTTTCTTTCTACATCATACGAGGAAGCCCACAAATATCTTTAAACTAATAGCCAACAGTAGGTCTTCCGTGCATTTCAGCCCAAAAATTTCAAAGATTTAAAAAAACACTTTTATGATTTTCCAGATGGCAGACAGTTGTGGGAGCAATAATGATAAAGATTTTGATATCAGCCGGTATAATGGATCCAATTACTTCTAATCTTACTAGGTCTGATATAGCATTATGGTTACCTGGTATGATGCTTTTTGTGGTCTCTATTTATTCTGGCTCAAAAGCTTTAGCTTCATTGGTGAGTAGAATATTTTTTAGCTGTATCAAATTTGAATAGGAGGAGGAATTATGTATATAATAGATATGATTATCAAATCTTTATTTTGTATAAAATATTTTTTGTTTTGACTATATCTTTTAATTCTGTCTGATCTTCTTTTGTTTGGTCTAAGTTTGATATTTCTTTGTTTAGAAATCAAAACAAAATTGTTTAGTCTAAATAATTTTTTTGTTTTGACTAAATCTATCTGATATATTTGTAATGATCAGTTAACTGAGTATTGAATCTATTTTAATTTTTCCAGTCCATTCCTGTATATTTTGCTCAACAGAATTTGATATTAGTATTTCGTCAGATAGCTGTGATGTCCATTAATAAACAAATAACAAGCATTTTTAATTACATTATGTTAATGATAGTTGTAATATCTTGTGTGGCTGTCATTCAAACTGACCCATACGTAAGTATACCTTTCATATTATTATACTGAATTTGTTTCAAAGAAATTAGACGGGGAGGGGCATTTGAAGGGCTTGGGAGATGGTCCAATTTGTGACTTTAACAGATCATTTGTACATGGAATAAAAGTAAAAATGGATAATTTTTTAGACAATTGTATGATTTTTTTGTTAGGTCTATATTAATTAATTTTTTTTTTCAGTTTAATTCAGAGGGATATTTCTGGGTGTGTGTTCATTTAATCAGTACAGGTTTAATAGAAATCTATACACAGTTAATTAATACTAAATTAAAACTGAGGTGAGTTAAATAAACGAATACACATATTCAGAAAGACAAGCTAGGTCCTCAAGAGTCCTTTTTACCAGCTAGTCATTGGCCAAACCTCTTGGCAAAGCTGCTACCCAGATTTTCTGTATTAGCATATAATTATTTGTATGTTTGATTATATTTACAATTTGATTATATTTACATTTTATAATATTTACATTATTTGATAATATTTACATATTTGATAATGTACAATACGTTATATTTACATTTGTTTATATTTACATTTGATAATATTTACAATACGTTATATTTACATTTGATAATATTTACAATACGTTATATTTACATTTGATAATATTTACAATATGTTATATTTACATTTGATAATATTTACATTTGATAACATTTACAACTGTTATTTTTCCAGTATCTATGAAAGACTTTATTCCTGTTATATTTACAGGTAAATATACAATTTTTGGTTATTTAATCAAAATAAAATCTGCAAGTTTAGTCATTTCAGTCAGACAATAACTGAATTATTTTGAGATGAAAAAAAGACATGTTCTTATAAAATTTCCCTCATTGCACTCTGTACCTCTTCAGTCAACTGACCTATACAATTCAGCCTGTTTCTCTACTGAAGTTGGACATCTGTTTTTGTTTTTCAGTGTGATAGTTCTCGCACCTTCAAGTTATTTTCTTGGTAAGTTTTTATCACACAATAAAAAAGTCAAATTAACAATAATTATAATTTTGAAATGGGGCTAAAAATGTATTTACTGAACGTAAAATTAAAAGGATATTAAAACTGAGTTGGGTTTTGGTGGAAGGTTTGTATCATGTGGAGTAATAAGTCTCTTTTTTTAATTGCAGGAGATGCTTTAGAAGCTCAGAAATTCCCTTACCTGTATTTTACCAAGTTTTATGTTGGTTGTCTCATGAGGTAAGACCTGCTTCCTTTGTAGTGAAATTTGGCTGACATGGACCAAGTATCTAGTCGCTGCTGACAGGGAAATAAATACGAGAGATAGTGTGCTGCAGCTTGTGCACTAAGAAGACACTTGAAAGTTGGAAATTGAAAGGAGTAGGTAGATCTTGTTTTTCTGGCATATCTGTATATATCTCTTCTCATTTCAGTGGTGTGTTTGGACTGTGTTTAAATCTATGTGCAATCAGGCTACAAGATCTACAGTTGAAAGTTTTAGATCTCAATTCATTAGTAATATTAAGCAAAGTAAGTATGAGTAAAGTTTGCATTTTTCTATGCATCTCACCTCTATAGAATATGAATTTGAAATCTGGTTTGTCTGCAATTAAGCAAAAAATATCACTAAAGAATATAAGAATCATGGCCACTGTCCTCAAAAATTATAAAATTCATGACAGTTATTACTATTTCAAATACAGGTAGGTGCCGAACAGAAGCACCTAAAATTTAACCAATATCATAGAATTTCTTCCATATTTCTCAAATTAATCAAACTGCACATTTTTTTTTCAGATTTTAGGCAGCGCATTGTCCTTAGTCATATTCAAAACATTTTTAACAGGGTCCCATGCTTTATGGTAGGTGTGATCTAGTCCAAAGCTAACCCCACATTTCTTAATGCATGTTGCAAGAGCTGTTATTACTACTAACTGAAGCTGCAGAGTGAGGCAAAGAGTCAAAGCCCTATGTCTGTCGGTATATTTAAGCTGCTAAGGTTGTCCTTGTCAATTTTAACAGTGAGATGAGCATCTGGTGGAGCCTTTTACTAGTTTTGTTTCACAACAAGTCCAAATTAGGCAATTGGGGATCTCTGTCAATCAATGAGTCAGTCAAAATAATTCAAATCTACCAGTAATAACTGGTACAGACTTCCACAAGGGTTTGTCTGAGCTGTCTCTGTGAGGTTAAATTTGAAGAAATAACCTGTTCCCCTTAAAAAAAAAGCTAAGCTGAATAATTTGAAGGACTCTTGATTATCTTTGCTTCCATCATCCTAAATTTTCCTATATCTTGGGAGTTAATTTTCTTATCACATTTTTTTTTTAAGGCTGTTGGTTAATTTATTGTGTTCGTTAGCAATCTGTGATCCAAACTTTGACAATTCTTCACCAAATATAATTAGTTTGGGTGATTTGCCAAAACCTAAAATACCGGGACTGCAGTTGCACTCAATGCAACAGGACATGTTAAAAATAGAGATTAGGAAGTGATATTTTTAGTGAGTTTCAAGTGGAATTAAATCTCAAAAAATGACAAAAGTATATTGAAAGAGTTGTGGAATAAAGTGTTTACATTTAGTTTAGTAATGGTGACTCTAAAAACAATAATATAAGTCTTGAGAGAGTAATAATGACTCTTAAGATAACTATGACACTTTAAGAGTAATGGAGTCCCAAAAAAGAGCAATGCTGATAAATAATATTTGTACTAGTTCTTTCTCAAGTAATTGTAATTTATGGTATTGCCATAAAAGTGCAAAAATTACCAAAAACTTGGATATGGGCATGATCCGACCTCATGTGACCTTTCTAAGATGAGGGGTCATGAATGCTACATATTTTAGTGTTCAGTAGAGATTTATTTGCATCTGATATTTAGTGTTCAGAGCTCTTGAAATTTATGTGCAATTTTGTATTTGTTTTTGTGATATGTGTTCGAATAAACGACTGAGGGACCAATTTGAAAACTAAATTTAACCCTAATTTGCTTGAACAGGTCTTTGTGCTACTGGTTTTACAGGTTATGAAGCCCTTAACTGTTGAAATAGAAAAAGAGAAGGCTATTGTGGCCGTATTAGAAAATTTCTCTCCTTGCACACTGCCTGGAATTGACCAATCTTTATTAATCTATGAAGAGCTCCTTCATTTCATTCATTCATTTGCTTCTTCATTCATTCTGAACCAATGGAATCTGTCCTAAATTGGAACTGGAAATAAAGTGACAACTTCTCCAATGTACAAGAAATTTAATAGTGCACAATGTACAGTAATATGGACTAAAAAGGTACATTTAGTCATATCGCTATGGAAACAGTGCTATTTAAAAATGTACAGTATACAGTATGAAAAATGAAATTAGATTATGAAAAACCCTATTTAATTGGCTATTTAGTTTTAATCTAACCAATCATTAGCCTTGCTTCATAATAGTTTGTTAAATATGTATATAATGTTATATACACAAAAAAAAAAAACAAAAACAAAAATCAGCCAACAAATAAAAAAAACCTATGGGTTGACTAAAAAAAAATCTGGGAACAAATAACAAAAAATCTTCAAGAAAAAAACAATTGCATAAAGCAACTTTCATGGTCACAGTTAGCTAATTATGTAGACTAGATTAAAAAGTCCTTTTAAGGCTTGAACATTAAGTCTATCAGTAAGCATTCTAATAAGTAAATCTTTTTTGCAAAATGTCCAAAGCTACTGAACAAATAATTGGCCAGATGCATGAAATAAAAGTAGTCTTGATCAAATAAAGGTAGTCTAAGTTATCACACATGTAACAATGTACTTTTAACGAATCATATGAGGCCTAGCTTGTTTGCTGCAAAGGAAACAATCAAGTGCTTAAATGTAAACAATTTTGAATATTTTGCAAAAAAAATTACCTGCGTTTACAAAAACATTTTTTCTTAAAAATCTGATACAAGCAACACTCTTTCATATATTTATACATATATATATATATTAGGATAACTATAATAACAATTCGTACATAAAGCGAAAAAAAAAAAGATAACATTTTCTTATAAATATTGATAACAATTATTAAAAACGTGTCAAAATTGTGAACACTTAAAATTCAATATTTTGCACATGCACTAAAACTGTGGCTTATTATACTATCTCATAGATTGCCACCGTGGCAATGCCACATCATACACAGCTAACAATGTTCACTAATTGCAATGGCTATCACAATTTAATATTTTGGCACTTATCCCCTTCCATACAGAAAAGCTAATTCAATTCTTAAAACCAAACACGCAAAATTGTCCTCCATCTCTATTTGTTTTTCATATATAAGAATGATATTTTGGCAATAATGGTTGGCAGTGCTGTTAACAAATTTAACCAAATGCCACTACATATTCATAATATCTCATTTGACAAGTTTGATTCAGAATGAAAGTTTTTGAACTATATGGAAGGGTATAAGTGCCAAATCATCTACATAAAATTCTGGAATATATTCAGTGAAAAAAAGCTACAAATACAACATATAAGTTCAAAATTTGTTTAAAATGTTTGCATAGAAATTGAACTTTATTGAATGAATTACATATACATGAATTAATAATAATAATAATAATAATATCTAACGCACTTCTACTGAAATAACATTATGTCCAATATCATCCAATCAACGACAAGAAACATTTCCATTTAGCCAATCAAATTTAAGGAAAATTCAAAATGAAGATTGACACAAATTAATATCTGTTTTGAATTGTTGTAAACATTTTAAACTTTGAGAGTAAAACCAAAATCCAAGAATTTTAATTTGTATGTTCTTTTTTTTCTGATAATTAGTCTGAAAATGTTATGAAAAAAATTTTAGAAACAAAATTCTGAAATACAAAAAGAAAGTAGGTAATGATTTAAAAAAAAAATGGCAAATTTGACTAATAAAGTTCTCTAAGATAACAAATAAGTTTTAAAATATTTGAAGATAAAATTTGAAAAGTTTTTAACAATGCTTTTAAATGTATTGCAATAATAATTATGACTTTACACTAGGGTGTTGTGAAATGCACTTACCACTTATCAGGTGCTTAGATATATTTGAATTCCTTCAGATACTGAATTTTAAGTATATTTCTGGATTTCTTAGCTGTTTTGGGCATGTGGAACCAAACTTGAAGTTCCAAATAAGAGTATGTATGATTCTCCCTTTAACAAGTTTGAAAGAGACCATAAATTTTGCAATATTCACTTAATTATGAAATATGGATAGGTTTGCATATGAGAAGTTTTCAGAAGTAAATTATCAAGGACGCAGTGCATTTCACATCAACCGTACCATGAGATAAACAACTTCAGTATTATGTAACATGAGAAGTAATACTAAAAACAATCCTCATGTAAATATCACTAAATCCATGCAAAAACTCTAGGTCTGATCATAATATACATATGTTAAATTCTACAGCTTGATTCTAGGTCATGATTTAAGCTTTATTGAAAGCTTGTTATTTAAATTTTTGCTTGATTTCGTGTCAGCATTTAAGCTTGTTATAAATTATTAAAACTTCACTGATAGCAGGTTCAATCTGAAGCCTGCTTTAAGTTCAAGATTTGAGCTTTATAATTTTTTTCTTGTGAGCTTAAGCTTTATGACTTTTCCATTAAAGTCAAAATTTAAGCTTTGGAAATTTTACTTTTCAGCCTTCCATAAAACTTGAATCTTGGACCAGAAATTCAACCTAATTGTCTAAAGCCATGTTTGATTGCTGCAAAATTTAATCAAGATCTTTGAAAAAGACTTATTTCAATGGATGTTTCAACCCTTGATTCAAAGCAATTAGCAATCAAACATTGCTTAATTAATAATATTTTTTTTCAAAATGATAAATTAACACACAGGATAATGTTTTGTCAAAACAACTGGATTCTGGCGCAATCACGGATGAGGTTGATCCTTTTCCAAATACCATGTATCCATGGCAACACAAAATATGACTTCATATATTCCATGGTAGAAAACCACACTAATATCCAATTAAAAAAAAATAAATCGAAAGTTGAAAAAAAAATCAACATTGTTTTTTTTTCTTTGTCTAAAACACACAGTTTCCATGGAAACAGGAAATAAATGTCACTCCAAAAGTTAGAAACTTAAGATCACATTAAGTAATGAAATAATTAGGCACGAGTATTAATCCCTGGTCAAAAAGATTAGTATAACATTCTAATTAAGTCCTAATAAATATTCATAAGGTCCTAATACATATTCATAAGTATTTAATTAACATTTATTTAATATATATGTGCCAGCCTACTTGATATTCAAAAGACTATGAAAATTTAATTTAAATGCAAGAAAAATACACCCATGATTTTTAATAGCTATGTTAAAAAGATGGCGTTATATTGAATATTCATTATGTCCTACTTAATATTCATGAGATGCAGATTAGAATTTTTTCGAAAGTTTAATGTTGGAAGCAATATGCATAATAGTCTTAAACTAATTGTAATCATGCACTGGGATTTTTAGCAATATTATAAACCTTCACAATCTCTAAATAATGAATATTCATACTTGAATATTCAAATCGTCTAATGAATAATCATGAGAATATATTTTATGTTCATCATTTCTGCAATATAAAATTCAAAATTGGATGTCCCACTCATGTCCTAAAACTTTACCACATGTTGTGCATTTAACATAATATGAAACGGCTAACTATTCTGTCAAGATTTTGTGAAATCTTCCCTACTAGTCAAAGGATTTACTTGTGAACTTGTGGAACACAGTAGAAAATGGAACTGAATTTACATGTAAATATAAATGCTTCAGCAGTTCTTGGAGAATTTGGTTTTAGGATTTGACAGTTCCATAGCATGAACACATAATAGTATTTTTTTTTGGTGACATATCTGGACATTTTCAATGCACTGATGTAGTATATTTAAGGAGGCCACATTGTTGCAAAAGATGGTAAAAAATGTATTACTTGATATAGATATCAATTGATGTATTGAGCACTATTTTAACTTTGTTAACTCTTTGTTATCATTTTTAATCTTAAGATATATTCAATGGCCATATTTGTTAAATGCCAATTTTTCTTTTTTTTTAAATTATCACTTAGCTTACTTGAACCAGGGAATTTTATAAAATTGAAAAAACAATATTACATTATTCATTCCTTTAAAAAAAGACAACAAGATTTTTTTAAAAGAAAGGCCTGAATGAATAGAGGTTAAATTTAGTTTGTTTTCTCTTTAAAAATCAGAATAGAAAAAAAAATGAAGAGATCTCAGCAAATTCTTTCGGCACTAGGAGCGACTGTATCGGTCCAAAGATGTCGAAGAACCACGTGCCGATTGAGCAAGTCCTGTGGTGGAAGAATGGTGACCAACCAATGAGGAGGTTGTGAAAAGTTTGTACCAGCCAATCACAATGTTGCTTAGATCTAAATCCTCCAATAGAATTTGAGCCACGCCCATGAACACTTTTTTATCCATTCTTCCATAGTCTCCCCAAACTGTCACCTGTAGAAGAGAAAAAAATTCAAATTTGAATAAGTTGATATGATATTACTGTAGTATCTACATGGCTCAGTTTGGACTACTACAAGTGGTTCCATCTCTTTATCAAAAAGAATATCTCTTCGAGTTCTTACCTGGAGTATTTTACCAACATAAGATTCATTAAAGACTAGCTGTTGTTGATACAAAGGATCTAATGTTCTTCTAGCTATTGTTGTCTTCTGCTTCTCGATACATGATTTACCTTCGATTAAATAGACCTTCACATATGGCGCTGAAAATAGGAAAGAAGTATTCTGTTAAGTTTTCACAGTTAGATTCTTTCAAAGTTTGAAGTCAGTAAAGAGAATGCTTCAATTTATTTGATTTATTTCTTCAAAAACTTTCATAGATTCTGTCTACATACCTGGTAACACTCTTGCACCTGCCTTAGATGACAATCCACGAGCTCGAATGACCTCAACCTCCAGATGACCTTTACGGTCATACAAACCAAGTTGTATTTCTCCCAGACAAGCTGCTCCAAGTACTTGTCTGCCTACTAATTGAGATGGACCTAATCCGTCAACAAAGTCACCAAATTGACCCTCAGAACCTAATCGCATACCAGTGGGCAACCAAAGCCTGCAAAAGATGATAAAATCATAAGCCATTATAATTGCTTTGGAACATCTTCAGTATCTGCATCACCAGTATGTCCAAGAATGCACAGAAACATCCTCAGTAAAAGCATCAGGATCATGTTTAAAATTTTCAAGAATTTTCACATGAATTCAGTGGCACATCTTCAGTATTAGCACCAGCATCAATATGTGGTCCAATTTATCAGCAACTAAATATAGAGATTCTGATACTTACACACTAGAGGAGTCACTACTGACACTACCCATGCTGCCGTCAGTAGAATCCTTACTAGCTTGCTTTGACATACCACCACGTAAATCAACTGGTCCCACTTCCTCGCTTCTCTGGAATGAACTCTTTTTCTTTCCTTTTTCTGAAACAATGCACATGTAATAGATAAAGAAAAATCCATATGATCTATGGTTATTACTTATACTTGAAAATGATTTCACATGCATAATAACAGGAACACTAACTTGCAGCCTATAGTTGTGTTAAGTTTTTGTGAAGTTGTTCCCTTTCCAAAAGACTTACCTGCAAGCTGGTTAGCACTACTGCTGCGGCGCTTTAATCCTACAAAATTAGCTACTTTGTTGGACAGACTAGGTCTTCGTTTACTGCGTCCATCTGTAATACTGGTGGATAACGCAGAGTCCGAAACACTTCCATCATTTTGATCTAAGCCTTGCTCGTTGCTGGTACTTTTTACGATGTTTCTTGACCTTGGAATCGTGGTACGACTCTCCATCTTTGAGGTAAATTCACTGCATGAAAGAAGACATACAAGATGAATATTGAGACTAGCATATTGCTCAATTCATTATGCCAGGGAGGCCAGGCTGATAGTTTTCCTTCATATTGTTTTAGATCTGTAAGAGAAAAGTGGACAACACAACACTCACCTTAATTTTCTGCGAGGTCGTTCTGACTGTGTTGAACGGACACTAATAGTGCTGACTTTTGAAACTTCCGACATATCACTAGTCTCAGATACATCACTTCCTACATCATCTGATACGTCAGGACTGAATTCTGCAAGAGAAAAAGGGTAAATAATTGGTATAGATCTGTTGATAGAAAGGAATCTGATTGTTTGAAGTTTGAAATCCCCTTCAAGACAAGAATTAATTATGGATTTTATAAGCTTTTTCTTTGTATGCACAATGAGTCTCCTGAAGGGCAGAAGTGGCATCAGGTCTTCCTTTACCTTTATTTCTTCTGCTTCTATGATGACTTCGCTCTATATCCCTCGATCTGTCGTAACTTCTTTCCCTCTCCCGCCTTTCCATAGCTTTCTCTAAACTCCTCTCTGATCTTTCCCGGCTATGACTCTTTCCTCGTCTATCAGAATAATCTGAATCATGTGACCTGTAGTATGATTCGCTGTCAGACTGGGCAATACCAACTGATGAACCGCCTTTTCCCATCTTCATTTTCATCTTCATGATCCGCGCCCTTTCTTCAAGATCTTGAGTCACTGAAAATGGAAGACAACTCAGAATTTCTATTGTCACAGAGAAATATGATCAAAAGCAATTGAAACCTTCAGAACATAGAAAAAGGTTCTTCATCCATAAATGATAGCTGGTGAAAAATGCTGCCCCTGCACTTACCTCTATCTCGACTAGCCATCTGAGCCTCCAATGGAATAGCTGGTAATTGACGTTTCTTGGGTGATGGTGTGCTTGTAGGAGTTCCGCCTGCAGAACGTGATGATAGTCCTCCTACTCTCCCACTTCCAGTCATACCAGATCTACAACAACACAGAACATTGGTATTAAACTAATTTGATGGAAAATTAACTAACCAGCCAAGATTGCAAAGGATTTGTGGATATTGGCCTATAAATGACACTTTTGGAGGCTTTTTATCAATAAGAATCAGTGTTAGTGCAGATAACACAACTAAAAGGACTTCACACAATGCCAGTTTGAAAATACAACTACAATTCATAGTTTTGGACAGTTTTTGAATGGCAGTATTGCTCGGTATTCGAAGGTTGAATTTTTTTTTTAAATCAATAAGAATCAGCGTTGACACAGATAATAGTAACAATAATTTTTTAAATCCCTCTGACCTTTACCTCTTATTTTTTATTTTGACAGCTTATGGACATTGTTTTTTAAATGGCAATATTTGCTCGGTATTCAAAGGTTTATTTTTTTTTTTAAATCAATAAGAATCAGCGTTGACACAGATAATAGTAACAATAATTTTTTAAATCCCTCTGACCTTTACCTCTTATTTTATATTTTTGACAGCCTACGGACCTCGTTTTTTGAATGGCAATATTGCATATCTTTTAAATCTTAGGAGATCAATAAGAATCAGTGTTAGTATAGATAATACCAACAATTTAATTTTTATAAATTTTTGAATTCATCATAATTTTTTATAATTTTAATGCCATTTTGTAGAAGACAAATTGTTGTGGAAGATTTTCAGGATTTCTGATCCTGCTGCTCATGCGTCAGAATCAGTGTTAGTGCAGATAACACACATAAATGGATTTCACACAATCATTTACATGCCAGTTTGAAAATACAACTACAATTCATAGTTTTTGGGCAGTTTTTGGATGGCAGTATTGCTTTGTATGCAAAAGTTTAATTTTTTTTAAATCAATAAGAATCAGCGTTGACACAGATAATAGTAACAATAATTTTTTAAATCCCTCTGACCTTTACCTCTTATTTTATATTTATGACAGCTTGTGGACCGTGTTTTTTGAATGGCAATATTGCATATCTTTTAAATCTTAAGAGATCAATAAGAATCAGTGTTGGTATAGATAATACCAACAATTTAATTTTTTGAAATTTTAGAATTCCTCTTAATTTTTCTTAATTTCAATGAAAGATTTGTAGAAGACAACTGTTGTGGAAGATTTTCAGGATTCCTGATCCTGCTGCTGATGCGTCGGATACACTTACCTCATTTCTGGAGGTGAGAGTGATCTAGAAGCCACTTCTGGCACTCGGTGGTGGTTTGGTGAACGAGATCGAAGTCGTGCTCCTTCACGAGGAGCTGGTCTAGGAGCAACTCTGCTTGGTGGTTTGTCTTGACTGTCCAAATTCTCACTTTGATGGCGTCTACGAGATGGCAGGTCATCCCTTCCTACAACTTAACAAAACAGAAAAATTGAGTTGTTGGAACAAGAATGTTGAGGTATAGAGCAACAGATTTCACTATTGAGTTGAGCTCAAAAGCATGGAGTTTGTTTAAGAGTGAACCTTGTCATGTTGATTGTTTTCATGTTATTTCATTTTTTCATTAGAAAGGTTTTTAGCTTTAGTAGTTGATGTGTTGGTATTGTACTCATTTCGGTACTGTTATTCGGGTTCCTATGAAACAACACGGTGGATCAGGAATTTAGGGGTAACCACTTTAAGTGCAGAATACTCAACATCAATAGGTATTGGTCAGGGTAGGAGGTGATGATGCCAAGACTGAAAATAATACAACAGTCAACACAGATCACCCTGCTTTTAGAAATGAACTGTCCTGGACATACTGAATGTGATGCCATCCTTAATTGCAAAACTGCATGAGTAGAAGAATTCATTAAAAGGTTGAGGGGTATCAAGTGTATAACTGGTTTATTATTTACAGCTTTGGATAAGGGTTGAGGTGTCACAAAAAGCAACTTCACAAAACTTCAATACAAAATAAAGGGAATGCTTCACCAAATTTCACAAAACCATTACAAGGGAAAAGGGTCCTCTTTGTCCATATCAAATTCAGTTCATGCACAACTATCTGACGATTAACCCTAGCCTAGCCTAGCCTAGCCTAGCCTATTTTTAAGCTACGCTGGAATAATTCAAACTGAAAATTAACTAATGTGTCCTTCATTGGTGTAGACTACGTCTATAAGCAAAGGTGAACTAATGTGTCCCTAAAAGTGTAGACCTGCATCTAATTCTTTACTTAACTATAAGAAAGTGACCTAATATGGTTTAGGATGATATGTGTACTCAAGCAATAACTAATGTTTTTCATTAATTAGTGAAAAAAATCATACAAAATTTTAACTAATATGACCTAACTAAGTGTATACTCGAGCATGAACTAATGGGTCACTTATTAGTGCAAAACTATGCTCATACTCAACTAAAAAGTGATTTCTTAATTAAAATTTTTCCAGTCTACCTCAGACTTTAAATTTATCTATAAGTGCATTGAATCCCTTGAGCAATATTTCTCAAAAAAATACCAATTCATGAATTTTAATTTTCTAATAGTAAGCAAGTTATCCAGCTTCTAAATGTTGACATTTTTATTTCATACTTTGCATCTGCAGTTACAGCTGACAAAATTCTCATAAGGTTATATTTAAAGTTTGTTACAGAATATCTTTAAAGGTTGAGAAATATTTGGAAGGAATTAGGGTAGCAGATGCATACATCTAAGACATTAAATCATTGGACAACAGTGAGCCAATCAGATACCTGTGCCACTGCGTCGTCGTGGTGATTCATCCCGATCATTGCGTGAGCGATGACGATCGTCTAGGTAATCCTCGTTGCCCTGCGTTGGACTGCAGGAGGAGGGAATAGAACTAATACTATTTTCATCTCTTAGAAGATGTCCAGTACCTTATAAAATATTTGAATTCATGAGACTTGATGATCAGAGCAATTCAAATTACCTTTTAAATAATAATGGAATTTATGAGACTTGTTGATGGGGACAATGATGAAGACAAAGCCAAAGCCAAAGCAATAGTTAGTGAGAATTGTTGGTGTTGCTTGAAGCAAATATCATTAATGAATTCAAGGGGGCAATATCAAGGATGTAAAATATGATGACATTGAGAAGGATGCAACCTTGACCCCATAGAGTCAGAATAACCTTGACCTCTAAAGAGTATACTGTGACCTTCACCCAAACGACACTACCATGACCTTGGCCTTACCTGATATAACTCCGATACTGTCATCGTAATCTAACTCTGATATATCACTATCACTTAAGCCTCTAATACTTATAGGTGGTGAGAGATGGTCTTTACGAGGATCATAAGGATCCTTACTAGTTTTCTGCAAAAGAGAGGAACATCTTCAATTTTACATTTTGAATAAAAATCCAATTTTTTTTAAATCAATAAGAATCAGCATTGATACAGATAATACTAACAATAATTTTTTAAATCCCTCTGACCTTTACCTCTTATTTTATATTTTTGACATCTTATGGACCTCGTTTTTTGAATGGCAATATTGCATATCTTTTAAATCTTAAGAGATCAATAAGAATCAGTACTGTTATAGATAATACCAACAATTTAATTTTTTAGAAATTTTGGAATTCCTCATAATTTTTCATAACTTTAATGCCGTTTTGTAGAAGACAAATTGTTGTGGAAGATTTTCAGGATTCCTGATCCTGCTGCTGATGCGTCAGAATCAGTGTTAGTGCAGATAACACACATAAATGGATTTCACACAATAATTTACATGCCAGTTTGAAAATACACCTACAATTCATAGTTTTTGAACAGTTTTTGAATTTTCGACAAAGTCATGAGCAATAAAATAATTGTTACCTTACAATTATAAATTAATTTAATTTGAAAAGGAAACTTACAGATCTAGGTGAATTAGCAGGTAATGGAATGCTAGCATCGTCATGGTGACTAAGTTGGTACCAGTAAGGTTCATCATTTAAATTAGCTGATGTCAAGTCTATCAGAACCTGAAAATACAGAGGGCATATTAGAACTAGCTATGATTCTAAGGGCATGAGCTACTTTTGGTTGAAAAGCAAGCATATCTCGGCAGGTGCTTGGAAGTTTTGGTATCTCTTGGGCTCTTGGACAGTAATTGTCCTGCTTTGTTTAATGAGTGCATATATATGGCATTTGTCTTCAATTCTTGGGTTATGATACCTAAAAAACATTAGCACTTATTGGGCTATGCTCACCTCGCCTAAAAACTCGCTAGCACCTATTCTATCGTAGTCCCAAACAGTTATTTCCAATAACCGGTCTCTCAGATCTATATCTTTAACTGCACAATAGATGAAGGTTTGATTCCAGCTTGGTTCAATCGTATTGGCTATGGTCTTAGTTCTTCTCTTACTCTTCTCACTGAAACAGATTCAAAACACCTTGTAGCACTCTACAACTGAGACTTTGAAACTCCTTGGGTTGCCATTCATCAAAAAAATAGTTTGTTTTGATCCTTTTCTGAGGGGATTCAAGCAAGAAATGACACTCCATTTCAGTTCTGTTTTCAGCTAAGCAATCTTTCTTTGTACCATTTGGAAATGTAGCTTCTAGTAGATGAGAGAAAGGGAACACAAGCTTGTTGCAATTGTCACTTACCTTCTGTCTGGTAATAGATATAGTTTACAGTAGGGATTACGGAACTTGCCATGGTCTGTGAGAGTAAGTTCTAGAGCAGATATCACAGATACTATAAGTTGAAAACTTCGACTATCATACCATAGCTTGACCTGAAATTTTTAGACATATGAGTTATAAAAAAAAAGATCTAAAAATTTTGTTTATGCTTGCTCACAAATGAAATGGTAACATTGTTTTTATTATTTCAAAGATTAAAGCTATCATGAAGCTACAAGAAATTTACTTTAACTTCAGCAATAGACAATCCACTTGTAAAAATAAATAAATGTTGAAGCACACACAAACTTCCTAACAAAATTTTATTAACATTTTGTCCATACCTGTAACCTTCCTGTTATCAAAGGTGAGTGAGGTCGTGACCTTGTTCTTGACCTTGAACCAGTAGTGGTCACTGTAAGGCTGTGACGATTTCTGTGCTGATGTTGGGCTGGAAGCGCATCTCTTAAAGCATAATCTGAAAAAAAAAACTTACTGAATGAATGGCATAGCTGTGGGAATAGAAATAGTAAAATGCCACACAAGTATCTCATTTAAAGTTACTGTTAGATGATAAATTCTAGTGAAAATCAGATAATTTATAACATGATTCACTTGATTGAAAAGCACAGTGTTTTGGTATAGCCAGCATTGTTTTAGTTAGTAATAATTCTATTCTAAATTGGTTGCAAATTTGTTATGACTGGGTCTAGCACATCCCTGCAAATTTTTCATGCTTTTTTAATAAAAAAAGTATCAGTTATATTTCGTTAATCATATAGATATAGAGTATTTGAAGGCTCTGAAGAAGCACAAGATTTATGGGTAAATGTAAAATTACATCTTGCTTCTGAGTAGATTATTAATGACTAGGGAAGGCAGCATAAGGCAATTGTGAGTTAGCATAGCATAGTTGAGTATATTATAAGAATATCTTTTATTGACATTTCATATCTGACTGTTAAAATATGTTGTCACTGTCTACAATGTTTGACTAGCCCTTTGTAGAATAATTTACTGGATTATATTCACACAAATATCCAGGATTTTCTTTATTTAAGTAGCTAAATATTAGTCTAAGATATAATAAGATAAGTTTGTTAGTGGGAAGCCAAAAAAAAAAATCAATCTGGCACTCTGATAAACTTCTTACCCTTTCAGCCAAAAACTCTAAAAACTGAACATAATAATATACATAAATGATAAGAAACATAAGATTTAGAACATAATCTTGTTAAAAAAAAACATAAAATTACAACAAGAAAGAAAATATATTTTATATGAAAAATATTTTTGATACATAAAAAATAAAGGAACAACAGATTTGAAAAATATAACATCAATGTGTCTGTTATAAAATTGTAGACATACCTCGAGCATGATCTGTGAAGGTTGACTGTATGCCAGGTGGTACTTCACCAGTTCTGTAAAAAAGATATTTTTAATTAAGATGCATTTTGGGGAATACTGAAAATGTTGTTCCGAGTCGTTTCATTTACCAATAGCTTCAAAGAACCAAGTAAGAACTTACTTGGTGCTCCTATGAACAATAAGCTCAACTTGTGGTTCCTGTTTAGATTCCAAGATGATATCATAGACTTCTTCGAATGTAGCACCTTGCAGTGACCGACCATTCCATTCCACAACTTCATCACCTACAACAGGTACAAAAATATTTGAATGTCATTAATATTTACAATTTACAATGCCAATTTAAAATGTTAAATAATATTTACAATGTCAGTTTAATGTCAAATAATATTTACAATGTCAGTTTAAAATATCAATTTATATTTACAATGCCAGTTTAAAATGTCAAATAATATTTGCAATGCCAGTTTAAGATGTCAAATAATATTTACAATGTCAGTTTAAAATGTCAATTATATTTACAATGTCAATTTATATTTACAATGTCAGTTTATATTTACAATGTCAGTTTATATTTACAATGTCAGTTTAAAATTTCAATTTATATTTACAATGTCAGTTTAAAATGCCAAATAATATTCACAGTGCTTACCTTGTCTGAGATGACCGACTGTGTCAGCAATACTGCCTTTCTTCACCTTGGTTATAAAGGCTCCCAGTTTCCCACTGTCAGACATTTTTCCTCCTATCACCTTTAGACCTTTATAAAAATTTCAAATTCTTTTAAAACTCCATAACTATGCGTAAAAAATTCTCATGACATGCTTGAATTTATTGTAGTGCTCAAACATGTACCGTTTGTTGCTATTAATTCTGCTTAGCTTTTGTAAGTGACTAAATATATTATTAATGCACTAGACTGATTGGCAGTTTATTTACCAGCCCTCAATTTTCTATTGAACTCTTCCACACATGCATACATGCATCAATATGAAATTATGTTTATTTAATTGGAATAGCTCATTAGTAAAATTCAGGGGGGATGATTGTTGTTTAACAATTAAATTCAATTAATTATTAGTATATCTATTAAAGATGGGATAGAAACCAAATCAAAGATGCACTTCATTGTTATAAAGTTCTTTTTCTCGCTACTGTTTTATAGGATCACTTCTTTTACTCAAAAGATTGTAAGCCAAAATTCTGTAAATTGTCCCACATTTCCATTATAAATGTCCTGATGAAGGACTGATAAGCTAAACACAAGATACCAGAATCAGAGATGGACAAGTTCTTAGATGCTGCAGTCAGTGCAAATCTGTCCATATTCAATTTTGTGGACAAAAGAACACCACCTTTTTTTTTGGAAGTGCACCTTAGTTTGGCTATAAAAACTGCCTATGATAAGACCTGATATCTTTTTAAAATGCGGTTAGGGTTTGGATATACTTTATTTAAACTTGCCAAATGAGCTTCACCAAGAATTTGCTTATCATAGGCAAGTATTACTAATTGCAGATGCAAGAGAGTGATTTTTCCATTGGCATTTTCATGCAAATTGACTTCTCTATCCAGTTCTTGGATGACCAATACATGCTTTAACCAGAATCACTTAGATTGCTCATGGGTTAGACACTGAAAAGGACTCTTGAGCAGCCCTTGAGTGCTTAAGATAAGCAGTTTCATGCAGCTGTTAAATGCCAATGGAAAACAGAGAAAAACAAGTTGCCAAATTATTTCTCTATGGATCAGTCCAAACATTCTATTTTATTTTCAAATTATTTTTTTTGGCTGAGTTTTTTAAAATTGAATTGAAGCCTGGTCTTCCCAATGAAATCCAAAGGTTTTATTTGGCAAATTATGAATTCATTATGCACATTCAATCTAGGGAAATTAGAATTCAAATTAGACAAAATATAAGATCTGATACCTCCGCCCTTAATATCGCAAACACTGGTCATTAACTCATGTCTTCTAGATTTCAGATGCTTTTATCTTTTAGAAACAGTATGCCTCCATGAATATATTTCATTTATATATTTTCCATTGCCAGTATATATATTATGCCTACATATTTGTGCCTCTATGAATATATTTCAGGACATATAATTACTTATTTAATGCCTTATTAGACAGCCTCTATAAATAGGAATTGTGCCTTTATGAATATATATTATCCATTACCAGTATATATATATATTGTGCTCTGTGAATATATATATCAATATTATGCCTCTAAAGAATAGCTTTATGAATATATAATGTGCCTCTATGAATATAAATAGTTCCATAACATATTTAACTTTATTGTATCCCTCAACCAAGTTATATATCTCTTTGAATATATAGTGTGACTCTTCAAATACATTTACTGCCATATAATATTTAGTAAGAAAACATATTATGCCTCTACTAAGTGCCTCTTTGAATATACACAATGCCATATAATACTTAGTTAGGAAAGATAAAATGCCTCTGCCAAGCCTATATAAAGTGCCTCTTTGTATATACAATGTGCCTCTTGGAATATATTGACTGCCATATAATATATAAGTTAGGAAAGCTATTCTACAAGGAGTGGAATGGTTATAGAAGGTTCTAGTTCACTTCAGGCACATGCAGAGTAATAGTAATTGTTCCTGTGATTATAATGCCATGTCAGTAATAAGTTAGGTACATTACCCTTTGTGACCATTACCCTTTGTGACCATTACCCTTTGTGGCAATAACCCTCTTTCCTAACCTTGGGATGCTCCAGAAAGCAATGTCAGCTTTAGGTGGTTTAAAATGCCTGAAGGTTCAATGTCCAATTTTCGCTATTCATAGTCAATGTCTTATTTCGTGTAAAAAAGTTTTGTAGATTTTTGCAAAGAAATTTAATGGTTTTTATCATTTTCTAAAAGTTCTTTTGAGGTATTCAATCATTTAGGTTTATCTAGAATAACTTTAGGCGTTGTATTTTTTCCCAAAAATTCAAAAAAAATTTAAAATTTGCCGCATGGTTGAATGTGCATAAAGAATTTGCTCAACACATAAAAAGCAACGATAATAAAAAAGGGGGGATAATTGTGGGGAACTATACCTAACGCAGTACCTAATATGGCACTAGAATCACTGCGTTGACGACCACCTTCCAATACTGTTTTCTTCAAGATCATGTGACCAATCCATTTCTGCCCGTCTGCTGATGGTTGCCAGGTAACAGGATGCTACAAAAATAAACAATCATCATTCTGCCTGTTTCCTTCTTTGTAGTCTTGGATGTCAAGTTGCATTAACTTTTAAGGAAATGTCCATTAAAAAACTTTTTGCAGAAAATGCAGGTCTATTTGAAGCATTTCCTTAAAGCAAGAAACTTGACGTCCATTAGACAGAAACTGGCAGAATTAAAAAGTAAAAGATGGTTGTAAAAGCATTTTGAAATTCACAATCACCACAATTTTTAAAAAGCAAAAAGCCTTAAGGGGGTTCTGAGTCTAATTTAACTTCAAATTAGGGTTGTGTGCGGCGGAGGACTTGCATCGTGTTCATTTATAAATATTTGGCTACACATTGCTCTCAGAACTCAAATTAGATGTATGGGCAGATATTTTGCGAAAAATTTCCATCGTGCATTTCAACTCCAATTTTTTTTTTTTCAAGAAGTGTACAATTTAAAATTATATCAAGTTTCAATAAACCACAGTCTGAAGAAGTGGGATTGAATTTGCTTAATTGCATCAAGAGGTATTCAAAATTTGCCAGTATGTTTTGAATAATTCAACATCTACAGGAAGCCACACTTTCAAACAATTCTTCAACCAATTGTACCTTCAAAATATTAAACTGTTTTATTTCCTAAATTTTGTACAAAAATTTCATGAGACATTGGGTATTACAATTGGACAAAATCATGAAACTTAATTGCAAATTTTGGCACAGGCATAATCGTCTTTTTATCACCAACTTGAGCTTGTGTCCTGCAAATTCCTTTTTTGTTTTCAGGATAAGGCATTCCAAGCTTTAATGACAGCCAAAAAAGTTTTTTTTTATCGTCAGTATAGCTATTAACAAGCCCAAGCATTGTGAAAAAAAACACACTCATAATATTGCCTTTAATATAACATTTAGTTAATTTGCCAAAATTTGCAATTTCATTTTCAAAACTTTGCCAGAGTAACAAAGACAAGAAAATACAAAGAAAAAAATCATTAGGAGAAGCATTTATCTACAAAATGAATAAATAAAATAAAAATGGATAAATAAGTTAATAATTTGCATATATTTGCATATATTTGCATAAAATATCAGAAGGCGTTTTCTTATCGGTTACGATACAAATAAGTCATAAATTAACAGTGCTGTTGTCATGACAACCATGCATTGTTGGTGATATTAGTAATGTAAATAAATAACATGCAAATGTGCAAATTAGTTCATAACTTTATTATATATATATTCATAAATATCATTTGGAGTTCAAGCTTGCAATATTAGTCTAATTAGGTGCAGAAAAGTATATCATTGCTTTGAAATTAAATGTTGTTTGTTAACTTTTGCTATGGTATTGTTGCTCTTTAAATATTTGTTTTAGAAGGTTATAAAAAGCCAAAAAATCCATATTCAGTTTCTCTTACTCATAAATTAAATTTTAAAATTTTGTATACCTAGTATTTTTTTTTTTGGATGCAATTTTCAGACTTAGTCTGTCTTCAGATACAATTTTGTGACTTCCAATTTCAATTTTTGTATCTTTTAGTTAGGAGGTTGAACTCAATAAATGGTGTCAAAAGTAAATAAAGTGTTGTTATATATACAAATCAATATCTCTTATTGTGTCATGTATCAATAGGAAATAATTGACTTTAAAACGCAGGCCACACAATCAACATCTGGCTTCTTTAGGTCAGCAGATATTCTAGTATCAAAGGTCAGATATCTCTTGTGTCAAAGGTCAGATCTCTCTAGTGTCAAAGGTCAGATATCACTAGTATCAAAAGTCAGATATCTTTGATGTCAAAGGTCCGATATCTCTAGTGTCAAAGGCCAGATATCTCTAGTGTCAAAGGTCAGATATTTCTAGTGTCAAAGGTCAGATATCTCTAGTATCAAAGGCCAGATATCTCTAGTGTCAAAGGTCAGATATTTCTAGTGTCAAAGGTCAGATATCTTTAATGTCAAATGTCAGATATCTCTAGTGTCAAAGGTCATCAAGTATATTATATTTATAGGCCTACTGTTAAAAAATGGTTTCAATTGAAAAATTGAAGAGATCAATTCAAATTTAGACATAAAAACCATTAAATATTTTGGGGCAAAATAAATAAGGACACAGACTTTTATGTGAAAAAAACGTGCAAGTGTTTGTGAGTCAAAATTCTGTCACAGCCAGTGTCTTTGTGCGGCTAAAATAAATATTTTGAAAATGTGCAACTAAAATCGAAGACTGAAATCAAAAAGCATCTGCAGATATATATACCATAATACCCAATATCCATCAGAGTCAATAGTCTGGTAGAAGTTCTCTCCCCTTTGTTTAAGCCTAGAGGATGAAAGCCTTGACATATTAAGAATTAGGGGTTCATAGTTTTATTTCAAAGAGCTATAAAACATACAAGGATGCTGTACATTTGAGGAAAAATTCCTCAAAACAAAGCAAACATTTATAGCATCATCAAGTTGATATTCAAGCAAAAGAAGAAAAAGTATCAGCAACATCACAAGAAAGGATTTGTAAGGCTCAGGAAAAGGCTAAACAAGGGCAGAGAACTTCTATTTTCTATTTGTACTTCAATTTGAATTAACCAAAACACAAACACATACCAAAAAACAAATGTATCTTGGCAGAGACCAATACAAGGCAGTCAGAGTTATCTACATTGTAGTAACTCTTGTGCATTGAAGGAAGAAAAGGTAAATCAGTTAGAAGATCGTTTAAAAAGCAAGTGTAGCTACCTTGTGAAGTTCATCTGTCAGCGAGTAGCAACTGCTGGAAAAACCAGTATCGATGCCGGAATCTTTGACGTGGGGTTCCGAAATGCAGGAGGAGGATTCTTCAAAACTTGTGCCTCGGCCTGTGTCGTATTGAAGTTTCGGACCAGGTCGAGAGTCTGGGTGAATGGGTGATTTTAAGCGCACTTTTTCTCGGGAATAATTGTCTCCTAGAAATATGGAAATGCAATGTTAAAATAAGAACTGAAAATTACTAAAGCGTTGCCATGGTATTGGATGAACTTGAAACGAAATTGATTAAATATCATGAGGGCATTCTAATTTGTGTTTTGCTTTGATTTGATCTTTTATTTCTCTGATTCTGATTGACCTTCTGTTTGCCGAAAATTTGAGTAAATTATATCCCTATTAATTAATCAAAAACCCTCATTAAGTCAACTGTTTTGACATTTCTTTACATGAAACTAATGCGATGTAGAATATAGTCCTTCCCCACGCACTTAGTTACTAACCACTTTACATAGCAACCATAGATGCATACTCAGAAAAAAAATAGTCCCTTCTGTCATGCTAGGTCACTAATCAATTTACATCCTACAGGGTTATCGTAACTGCATTACTCAAAAGCTACATATTCATAATTTAATTTTAACGACCTCAATGTAAATTTTATAAAAAATGTTGGAAACCTGCCCAAAATCATTAATCTCTCATTTCAAATTCCATCCAATACCATTATGTTTTCTATATGCCTATTGAAATTTTCAATACACATATAAAATTAGTTGCCAACCATCTAAATGTCAGAAATTCAAGGCTGCATGAGGTACCAAAATCAGCTTGAATTCTGACACAAGATGTTGCTAAGCAACGCTGCCATCAAGGCTACCACGGACTCACCGACAGAAATTTCTTAATTTTAGCAGCTAGAATTTCATCCCTTTTCCATTGATCATCATTACAAAGTTCATTAAATTCACCTAGATGGGAAGAATCATGGTTAACATACACAATGTCAAAATAATGTGAACTCTATAAATAGAATGCTTCATCAAAAATTGTAGAGTGGGATTAGCAAATCCTGGAGGTCTAACTTAAAGATAACCTCAAGAGGGCATCATTCAAAGGGACCTCAGACAATTCATTGGATGGCACAAACCAAGCATTTTCTCTTAAACAATTTGGCTAAAACATATTACATTTCAATAGGAAGAGTATTTTGGGGTTTTGATATAGAGCAAGGGGGTTTTGATATGGAGCAAGGGGGTTTTGATATGGAGCAAGGGGGTTTTGATATGGAGCAAGGGGGTTTTGATATAGAGCAAGGGGGTTTTGATATGGAGCAAGGGTTCCAAGACAAATGAAAGGTCTGTACATACCTTTTTCACTGACACTCTCCGACTCTAAATCCAACTCCTCACAACTTGAACACTCTGGTGTTGATCTGATCTCATCCTCGGAACTACTAAGGGATTGCTGACGCTGCTTTTTGCCGCGCCGATGCTTATGGGGCTTAGGGGGTGGGGGTCGAACACAATCTGATGGATCAGAACTCAGTGAATCATTTCGCAGCATGGATTCTAATTTCTTACGATTGTTCTTGGCTGAGCTCGGATCTAGATGTCTCTTGTCATAGAATTCTCTGGAATCCTCGGAAGCCGTTGGTGTATCACTAGCATGATCGATTAAAATGCGATGACGTGGGATCGGGGAATCCTTAAAATCTGACAAATCACTTTCCTTGTAGCGTCCACGTTCACGACTTGGAGATCTTCGCGGATCCTTTCCAGTACGATCTCGATGGTGTCTATTACTCCCTCGTCGGTCCATACGATTTTCCTCACCCTGCTGTTCAGCAGAATGTGGATCGAGGGGTTGATCACGATATTCTCCTGACCCTTCTCTCACTTCCCGAGTGTCCCTAGGTTCACGTAAATCACGATTGTGTGATGCATGTGCCACATCACGTGTATCACGAGCTTCCTGCATCTCAGCAGTGCGATCTCTCGAAGAACTATGTTCCCTTCGTCCGTTCACAGGGGATTGTCTGTACCGTTCTGGCAGTGGTTGATCCTTTTTACGTTCCTTTCCAGCTTCCCTCTCTGCTCGTCTCCTCTCGTGGTCTTCAGGTCTCTCTTCAGCTCGTCTTTCGTGCCCACTGTGTGATGTGTGTGCACTGCGTGTGGAATGGGATGAGTGTGACGAATGTGTGCTACCATGGTTGGAACGCTCTCGACCATCCCTGAAAATATAAAAGTCAAAGAAAATGTAAAGGTCATTCAGTCAATAAACAAGATCTGCATCATAGTTGCATGCACTTTCTGAAGAAATAGATTCAACTACCATTAGTAAAGATACTCTTTGGAAGGTTTACAGATTTTTTAAGAAATGCTTTTACCTGTGCCGGCCTTCCCTTGAAGGATCAGCTTTAGCATCTCTAGGTTCTTCTCTAGGATCCCTTAATGCCCTTGGATCTTGAGGGTCTCTTCCTTCTCTTGGTTCACGATTTTCTCTAGGCTCTCTTGGATCACGATTTTCCCTAGGTTTTTGAGGATCACGATTCTCTCTAGGTTCACGGCCTTCCCTTTGTTCCCGACCTTCGCGTGGTTCTCTAGCATCTCGAGGTTCTCTGGGATGATTTTCAGATTGATCATGCTTACTCCTATCACGTTCACGAGCATGTTTCCTATCTTCGGGATGTTTTGGTGGAATAACAGCCTGGGGATCAGCAGAAGGGTCACGCGATCTTGAAGTACCATGACGGCCCTCACGGCCTTCACGATTACCCTCCTGCTGTTGCCACTCCTGGGCATAGAATTTTTTATCAGTTTCTGAAAGCCTGCTTTCACTGTGGTGTCGTGCACGTGCAGGAGCCCGCTCCTTCCCACGACCACGTTGCTCGGGGATTTGTCCATGTTCCCTCAATTTCTCCTTTTCCATATTAGGGTCTTTATTGGGATCCGAGGCTTTTATTGTGTTGGGATCCGTCATTGAGAATTGACGTTTGAGTTCTTTCCCTTGTAGACTACCGGTTCGCACAAAACTAGTTTTATCGTGTTTTTCAATGTTTTCTTTTTCAGAGCCCTGACTACTGTCTTGTTGCTTTTCCAAAATTTTAGGCTTTTTCTCATTCGGTGGGCTCACATCAGTTTTCGTAGATGTGGTTTCGCTTCCAGTGCCTGATGCTCCATCACTGAGAATGTCTAGAGCGACAGGTTTGGCCATACCTCCATGATACCATGCTCCTGTTTTGGCCAGAATTTCCTGCTTTTTGCGGCATAAGTTACAAGACCAGACAACCTGAAAAAAAAAACAGAGCAGCTGTGTTGAAAAATATCAGATGTTACTATGCCTTATGTGTCTACATGACATTGCTATGCATTCTTATTCCACACTCTCAAAGCCTTGTCAAATTCCATTGCAGACACAATTGTACATTGCCATGTATATATTTTATCTTTACATGAAATTGAAAAGAAAAGTTTTCACACACTAACCTGGTCTTTATTTGTGGGTCCCTTGATAGTAATCCGACCTCCACAGCGAGCACATGACTTGGTATTACAGTAATGACAGCTATGACCCACACCGTCTGCGAACTTGGTCTTATGGCACACCTGACAGACAGCACCAATATCTTCTGGAAGGTTCTTCAGGGTCTCTTCATTAAGTTTTAAAACAGATTGCTGATAATTTTCAAATTCATCTTTCATTTGCCTGGAAAGAGAAATTTTTATTTGCTTTGAATATAATGTTTTGTGTGAATCATAAGTACATGATCTTGTCTACATATTCCCTCATTGCTCTAGTCCTGGTTATCTAGTCTCCAGAATTTTTCATTTAAACTACAGCATATTTGAAGAACATTTCGGGGATATGTTGAGTGCTTTTTTTTTCATTCTTGGAAATAAATTGGGAGATGTACTCTGAATTTTATTTCAAACTGCAGAACTATTAGCAATCGTGCTTGGTTTTTTTTATCACAGATGCCCAATTTAAACAGTTGAAAATTAGACGACAATACTTCTTTAAGAACACATGTTAAAGTATTGGAGAAGTGGTCTCATTAAACGTCCCCAAAGGCTCATTTATATAATGTTAAATAATCCTGAGTTAGGGTTCATAATTTCTACAGACATAACGAATTCAGCCCTCTGCATAATTCAATTAGAATTGTCTAGAGGTTTTCTGTAAATTTCTGAATTTGATTAGGCTATTTATTCAATCAATAAATGAATACATACTATAACTTATATCAAGTATTTAACAAAGTATATATTTAACACTATTCAACTCTATTATATTTACTACCATGTTTCACTGTGGCAGGTAAACCTCATATTAGGGATTGAGGTAATAATTCTTCAAGATTATGCATGATTATCAATCACATTACCTCAATATTTGGTTGTATTATGACATGTTTACCCTAAAATTTGAGATATTTTCCAAATATATAAATTGTTTACCAAATAATAGGCTGTTTTATGACATGTTTACTTTATAATTTGACATATTTTCTAAATATATAAATTGTTTACCAAATAATACGCTCTTTCTGACATGTTCACTGTAAAATTTGACATATTTACTAATCATATAAATTGTTTACAAAACAAAGGTCAAAAAGGCTTTTTAATAATATGTTTACATAGCAAAAATTGTTTGCTGAATATGTTAATTGTTTACTAAATATGTTAATTGTTTACTAAATATGTAAATTGTTTACTGTATAAATAAATAGTTTACTGTATAAATAAATATTTTACCAAATAATGAACTATTTTATAATATATTTTCTACTCATATAACAGTTTATGTGCTTTGTTAATAAAAAAGTGAGTTATACCATAATATACCCCTTGTGTTTTCTGTTATATAAGAGTTTATTCAATAGTATATTATATTTAACAATTCACCAGTTCGATATAATTAAATTATTCTTAAAAAATAAATAATCGCTTTGAGTTCTTAGATCCGATAATGACTCACTTTCAAATTGTTTATTATTAAATCGTGAATCCAATAAAATGTACAACTGTTTATATTATAATATGAAATAACCTTGCGAATGCCCCAAAATTCAGCACATGTTGATGTCTTGAACATATGGTTTCTCCAAATTTTTCAACATATTCAGACCAATTGAATATATTATTAAACGCTAAATATATTTAAATGTAGATCTGTTTACTGGTATATTTCAATATGAAATAACCTTGCGAATGCCCCAAAATTCACCGCATATTGAAGTCTTGATCTTGTGGTTTCTCCAAATTTTTCAACATATTCAGACCAATTGAATATATTATTCAAAGCTGAATATATTTAAATGTAGAACTGTTTTTATTATAATATTTAAATGTACCCTTTACTCCCACATATTAATTGTTCACTACTAGACTCAGGGTGGTCTAGGATACTTAATATTCTATACAAAATGATAAAACAAAATGTATTGTATTGAAATTGTTTTCAATGTGGTTTCGTTATTATGCTGCTAAAATTTTATCGACAATTTTATGGTGAGGGCTTTGTTGTTCAAAATTTATTATGTGCTTGGTAGTTATACTGACTCAGCTGTTGGGCTTCTGGTGGTAAGCAAACCTGAGGGACCGATTGGATACCTTCATGGGTCAAGATTTGAAGTGATGCAGAGTGGAAGGGCTGACATGGACAAACCTCTAGTCCTTTGAATTGGTGATCAATTGAGGTCCCATTACCTAAAGACCAATGACAGAAATTGAAAAAGAAATTTATATTGTCTTTCTCCATTAGCATAGTTAGAAGTAGAAAAGTAGGATTTTAAATATTAATTTTTGAATTCCTCTAATTCTTTTCCTTTTTTGAAATCTTTATAAATGGTTCTTGTCTCATAACATTTAGTTGTAAAAATTTTAAATGACCCTCAGAGCCTTGGATTTATTTCCTAAAGAACAATCATTCAACATGATTCATTGAATTAATGAAACAATCTGTAAATGACATCATAGCCTTCTATTGTATTTGTAAACAACTTTATCCAAATAATATGGTTGAAAATGACTTTAATATTATCAATATTGGATTTTTTATGTTTTATATTCAAACTGTATAATACAATATGAAGTTTCCTATCCTACACATTAGTCCAGGACAGAGGAAGGAGCCTATTCTTTTTCATTCTCAAATTGTCAAGAGATCTTTAAGCTTAAAGCCTAGGTTTAAAATCCAAAGGTTTGAGTATCATCCCAACCTATGCAAGAATCAAAGCCTAGATCACTTGGTTCAATTCAAACATAAGAGTCAACCTGGGAGACTCCATCACTCCATTATAGTACTTCATCAGAAACACAGAAATTATATCTCTTACCTACACTCATTGTTCCTAAGTTTTTAATCCTAACATAAGGTCATACTTCCAATGAGAGACTTTCTACAATGGCAACAGTATCACGAACCTCCATATTATGCATCTGATCAAAGTCATCAGAGACACTAAATCCATAATCAGCTGGAGATCTGAAGTAGGCCTGCCCTGGGTGTCCATGGTATTGATGCCCATATTGATCATTATTTAGCAATAACCTAATTAATACCTATACAGTACATTTATCCATTTTTAATGCGGTGTATATTTTTGCAGCCCTGTCCATCTGTTCATATTAAAAGATCATGGATGGGTTTGAATGTTAGAATTATTCTTCTCCTGATATTGCTGTGAAATTAAGTCATGGATGTTGTTTTATGTGGATGCTTTATCTCCAAACTTATCCATCAGCAGGACATGCCATACTTTACCAGTGTACATGGACAAAAGCTTCCAGTTGTTCACATAGGACAATAATGGGGCCTGGTCTGACACATTTAAGATCTTTGACAGTTTGCAAAGGACAAATTTCCTTAATTGCACGCAGCCTGGTTTTGCTTTTATTCATTTGCCTAATAAGGTCATTTCATAATGATTGTATAATGATATATATACCATTATTCAGTATTAGGGATGCCGAATTTCATATGTAGAATCAAATAATATATACCATTATTTATTATAAGGGATGCCAAATTTCATACATATAATGATATAATATACCCTATAAATACAGACTAATTATCTGGTATATAACACTAATTACTGGTAATTATAGACAATAAATGTTATTGGAACTGGAGCACATTAATAATGAATTGGTATATACTTTTAATATTTGAATAGTTTAGCCTTCAGAACAAAACCTTCAAGCTTTCAGATTCAGCATTAGTTTTGTCTGTGAGCTTTATTGCTTATATTCATACTTTATATCTGTCAAAATAAACCCCAAGAAATCAAACATTTTGCCATATTAGTCTAAACAAACCCCTGAATTCAAAACAAACTTTATATCTGTCAAAACAATCATACAAAGTCATAACATGTTCGCATATTAGTCTAAACAATTTTTTTAATTCAAAACAAACTTTATATCTGTCAAAACAATCACACAAAGTCATAACATTTTCCCATCCCATTTTCCCAAGTCAAAACAAACACCAAGAAATCAAACATTTTCCCATATTAGTCTACCTCTACCTTAACTTCAAAACAAACTCCCATGCAAGTCAAAATAAATACCCGTATTAGTCAAAACAAACCCATAAATTCAAAATAAACTGCAAGTTAGTCAAAATAATGATAAAAACCCTCGTATTCCCACTGACGACCCGTTGCATATATTAATAGGCAATAGTGATATTATTTACGGTTATCTTATATGCTTCACTGCTTATGAAAGACAATAAGTGGAAGGCAATAGAGTTTTGTATGGACTATGGGATACGTACAGTATAGCTACGAGATCGTGGTCAAACACGTAAAAGGGTAGACGGCTAAGTGGGTCAGTCTGAAAAAGGAAAGATAAAGCCAGATAAAGTGTTAAAATTTTAATCTTGTAGTCGCTCTCCATTTTCAATGTCAGTCTATACCGTTATTTCAGAATAGCCTCATTTCAGAAGCAAGATGGCGGCGACTGAGGAGACAGTTCTCAATCCAATGTACTCACCGTATCATGTCTTGCTCCTTTTCTTCTTCTTCTTTCTGCCGCTGCAAGACATTTTCGATGACCAGCCGTTCATCTTCCGTCAGATGATTCAGGTCCGGCATCGGAGGTAGCGATGGTCTCCGCGAACTAGTCGACATTTTGCCGTTTGAGGCGATGCAATTTTGAGGCCGATAGCCACTGAATTACTAATTCCACTGTATGGCTAAAATAGTCTGCGGCCCCTTAGATGAGTGACGCTTGCTTGCGAGTAATCACCATCCTTAGTCTTTACTCTTATCACATCCTGGTTATTCCATCTTCTTCACTAATCCTTTAAAAAAATAATCCAAATGGAATGTAAGGGCGACATTGAGACCGCTATTTCGTACTCTTCGGCACGCGCGAATTGCCAATTAGATATATGCGTCGTGCATAATTTTAGCCTCGACAAGCCAGTCGCGACGATTCCAATAATGGCCTAGTCTTCGATCAATGTAGAACCGGCGTGATAACCAAGACTAGCATAATTTAAACACACTTTTCCATCCAATGGAGGAATAAGGCGACGTGACGTCATCGTATTCCAAGACCTAGAGTCGGTGCTAACGGAACGTATAATAGACTAGATTTGATTGGGTTAAAAAGGTTTTTATCGGTTTCATATCCGAGGAACAAAAGGGCAATTGGCAAAGTAGTATAATTAGTCAATCAACGCCCTATTGAAATCGCTCAACATATGGTTTCATTATGGACTGATTATTTGTAATCGTTTGATTTGTCTATATATCGGCTCTCCCACCGCTAATCATGTGTTGTAAACTTTGCTTTCATGGAGCGTAATAGTATCGCTTTAAAAGGAGCATGCTTAAGCGTACAAGGCGAAGGAGTTCTAACCAATTTATTATTGTCGGGCTTCGGCTTAAAAAAAATAGCAGAAGTCTTATTAATATTGATGAATAATTGAAAAAAAAAGACAAATATCTCCTGTCTTTCCAACTAACTCCAAGCTTAAACCCTCCTTATGGTATTTTTCAAAGAATTGGAATTTAGCTGAAGTATTATTCATAAACATTTTTCTGTAGGCTCGACCTTCGTCGTAACATTAGTAGCCAGGTAGTCAAGGCGACACAAGGTACATCAACGGGACTCTAAAAATAAAGGGGATATATATACGCGCAATAACGCCCGGTAAAAGTGTGCGTTGTTGGCAATATTATCCGTAACATGATACGCAACGTTGGTAAAGGCTCCGTTGCCGAATATCATGTGTGTTGGTATATTTGCTAATTTAGTTCTCTAAGATCTCATTTGTGGAGCTGTGAACATCAAACCATGCGTTTACCCCTTTGGACCCCTAATGTAACAGCATGTAATGGATCAGCATATTAGGTACGGTATCAGCCGCTTTCCTTGAGGTCAGCGTAACCGGGGGAAAATTTTGGAAACCGTTAAAGGCGGTAAAGTATTTCAATTGCAGCATTTAGTGGGATCAATGGTATCGATTTGACCCTAATCTTATGGGTAAGTTATGCTCACACGTGGGTATTGTGGACTTAGCATGACTCACTAGTCTACATTGTGTACAGGGTGAACCCTTATCGCTTTGAGTCCATAGCCATAGAATTGAATCGACGTAATCGTTTAAAAGATATGATATGGGGATCCGTTGGACTAACAGGAGTCATCTTTAGGGAAAGATCTTTCAGAATTTGTGGTACTGTTTAAGAAGATTTTGACGCTACTGAGGGCTTCTACCAACAATTACCTAGTCTGCCATATGTGCATTATCTGCAAGTGGGTGTTATCTTGTCTTTTACCAAGCTACCAACCACAGTTGGCCGGATGTCCACCACGATTGTCTTTGGATGCATATCCCTTGTCCAATGTGACCTTCAGGATGAGCGCGCAAAAGAATAATTCGGCTTCTCTGTCCATTACATACGTATGTAAAAAATTGAATTCTTCGGATAGATTTCTTTTATTCACAAACGTCTCAAAGAAGGCGGACTAAATAATCTGAACTTCATTCAGTGATTGATCATCGTTCAAAAGAAAATCAACGCTTTGCCCACAATCATTTTAACTTGTAGAAGGGACGCAACTCTTATAAATAATTGATACTTTTCTGATGAGTCGTTCCAACCAAAAGCATTGTTGAGCTTCACTTAGTCTCTAACAGTCGGTTATACAATCTCCCCGGTTGGTCTGTCCATAACATTATTGATGTTTGCACAAGAGTCGGGTTACAATCCAATCGATATCAGAAGAAAAAATGGGGACTTCCAAGGGCTCAGTGGGCCAAAGCATTCTAGAGCGATTGACCGATCCTTTGACGTATCAAGACGAAAATTTTCCACGTTAACATGTTTACGACTCGAAGCTTTGTTTTTCTCTCGAAAATCGATGCCCAGTTATTAAAATTCCGTCAAACCCAAATTCTGACATTTGCATGAATGAAATGGTGAATATATTAACCGAGTTCTCTCAATGACATTCACAAACTTACACCCCTATAATCACTAGTGGACTAGTCTAATCGCGAGACTCAGGCGAATCTATTGGTGAAAATAGGGAGGGAAATCCGTCAACGTTAATGAGTATCGTTGTCCATCGTTGATTGGTGAATCGACCACTTCCTAGTCATTTCATTGGTCAGCTATTAAAAGAAGTTCTATTTTTAGAACATGACGACATTTTAATAGATATATCAAGGGATTGCACCATTTGATATCAGTTTTATCGTTAAATATCGAGATATGAATGAATTATAGTGGATCTTCGAACACAAACCCCGATAGAAGAAATTCCGATGCGCAAAACAGATTAAACGGCCTTAAAAAGTGTGAAATACAATCAAGGAAATCCAATATAACTTCTTTAAGGAACTTTTGAAAGAAATTGAAAGCTGAAAATGACACGGAGAATGCAGCATCCAACCCGGACTCGGAACCGGACAGGCACCACTACCACCGACTTAGACAGAAATCATCATCATCATCGTTTCTCTCGATCGACCACCCGCCAGTGTTTCTCTCGTTTCTCCCTTCCAAAACAGGAAGAAGGAGCTCGTGAAAAGCGCTTCTACTACTGGGACAGTCCGTGCGTCTTGGAAAGGTTATCTAAGTATAAACTTCAGCGTACAATTTCAGCCATGGTTTAAATTCATGAAATTGATCGAGGATACACACGAGAGCGGTCTGGTAGATTGTGACTTCACACCATGCCGAGATTTCCAGGACATGGAGTTTTTGATTGGTTCCAAGAGAATAAGATATGTGCCCAATGCTGGTGGCAATTCGGTCAATTCCGAAGTGCTGTCTTTCGAATTGTTGGGTCGATGTTTCGGAGCTAGATTGGTCAAGGTGAGTGTCTAAGCCGTTTTCATTCTATGTACTTTTTCTCTCTTCTGTTTACCACACAATATAGACAGAGGTCCTCAGTGAAAGCATCATCATCTTCCTCTGCCGTACCTTGCATTCTCTCTAATCATGTCCTTAGATCCCACAGACCGAAACGAACTTGACTGATTAAATTATCCTTTTCCATTACAGACTGAAATGGAGGTTTCTTATTTCCCCCAGGGTGGCTCCATAACAGATTACGTAACAGAGATTGGTGGCACAGTTCTTGGAGTGTCTGTGACCAGAGCTATGAAATATTTCGGAGACTATACAGAAGAGGATGCTCATCACTTATTGATGAAAAAATTGAGAGGTAGGTTGGACGCTTTGATGTAGATTTAAATGTCCTTTTGGCTTTAGATGCTTAATCCGTTGTACATTGCTACATGGAAGTATCGTGCCCAAGTAGCTAATCGAAGGAGCTGTGCATATTGCTAAATGACCGTTATCAGAAGGCTTCAATTATTTTGAAAATATGATTGTTAATTTTCAGGGGTGAACCAATCTTCACGTAATACCTGCGAATCGTGGACCAAACAGATTCTCCACGTCTGGACGACCTCGGCACACGTCACTGACGTCATCACCAGAGTCTACGACAGTGACATCCCAGAGGACCTCAAGAGTAACACATTAGTATTGGTGTCAACCGCTGCTGAATCCGACTTCATCTTCAGCAACAGCTGAGCACGGCGACCTGATCGATCTCTCCGTCATTTTGAAGATTTTTACGTAAGCTAACAGTACATTTGAAGCAGAGATCTTCAGTGAAAGCTTTGGCGTCTTGCTGGAGAGGTTCTTTCAAATCTCTTTTGCCATACAAGAGATCCAGCACAGCAACCATCAATAAACGTTGAACAGTGAAAAATGTTTGAGCTTGCAGTCGTTCAATGGTAATTGACATCTTCAGTAGAAGCTTTAGCATCTTCGTAAACTCCTTTGGGATCTCTCTGACCATGACAAAGTTGCCAATTTGGACCAGTTTCCAAATGTTACCCACATACAATTAATTACTTGATATTTTACTAGATCCGTCCAAAAGATGACCCAACAACATGTGTCAGATCAAATTTCTTTGAACTCTACCAGATCAAATCATTGCACATCGCCTCATCGCCTCATCGCACAATTAATTGTATAATATGTCCATGTTATTTATTATCATCACATTTTTGTATTATATACATTTGTATGTATTTTTATTACTTATGTATTATTTTGATGTATTTTTATAGTATTGTTGTATTTGTATTTTGTTGTATTGTTGTTATTTTGTATAGTCGTATTAAAAAATATACATAAAGCTATCGACTCCTTCTTCTTTGGCTCTATGGTACGTTGTTTCCCAAGCGAATACTGGTTTAGTATCTCCTGTTATTCCCCGGGTCAAGGGGTGTTTTCATGAAATCTTTAAGAACGTCTGAAAAGTCAACCGTTAAGATACTGTTAAGGGGAAGTAATTCATCGGAGAATAATAGGTTTTTTGATAAGATTTGCAGACCCCAACGTCAATGTGTCAAGGGTTATAGATCGTACTGTCCGCTGATCTACCCTCCTTTGCATATGGCTGCTTAATTGTAACCAACCTAGTGATCGAACGCTATATTTCCTCCCCGACAAAATAGTTGTTTAATTACAATCAACCAAGTGATCGAACGTAATATTTGACCCCCTCACGTGGTTATATGTAGTCGATCAATTTGTTATCAATACCGGATCAAATTACCAATTTATTTATTTATTACTTGCTGTATATTGTTGCCAATAAAACTACAGGACTGATGTTTAAAGGAGCTCTTCCGCACATTCTATACGTTACGCGTTGACGCAATAGTCATTAAAAGTCGTTGACGTCATAAATTGCGCCAAAATCGACCCCGCTCACCTAACCGTCCCGTGTAACGTCATGTTGTCTACCCAAAAGAGCATCCTGTTTTATGTACGAAAAGCTCATTCCTGTACCAGTTTAGTGCTGCATGCAGATCCAATTGCAACACGACAAACTGGCATTACATCCATATTTAAAGCGAAAATTTCCGTTGGAATTAAATCAGCGCTTCTGAAGCATCTCGCCGATTGTAATTCTTTGGAAGGCAACCGGTTAATATCGTGGAGAGGTAATACGATCTCTTTAATCTAATCTCGTCGTCTGCAATGGGACAATCAGATTTACATAATATGATTAGTGGATTAAGACAATCGAGGTGGCGTCATTGACAACGGCGCCTAGCAACTTGTATCGTGACAGTGGATATTTAATTCGGATTAGCACGCTTGTTAGTATGAGGGCACATCGCAGGGTTAATTTGCTCATTTATTTCATTTTATGACGGTCATATTTGGAGTAAATTTCATTCACAATGGCCACAGGTAAGCTGTATTTTCAATTACCATTTATATTTAGATGCTCCCCTTGAATTATGTTGATATACGCCTCGCATGTTCATATTTTACAATTGTTTAATCTAGATATAGATGTACGAAATGTACACTGTTCAGGGTTTTTTCGAGTGTCCAAAATGGCCAATGAAATTTAAGGTTGCCCGACCCATACTTTTGGGAGTAGAATGATTTTTGTACGAGGGGAAATTCTACCTTCTATGTCCGACCACATGAATCCCATCTTCGTGCGAGATCAACACAAACCCCTTGAGCTAGTCCATTTAAATTTATTATGGTTTTAATTTTGCAGCAACACGAAGAATCGATGTGCTTGCCAAACCCAAATCAGTTCATCCAGAGCATTCAGATGATAGGTAAGCTTACGACTTAGTTCAGTTAACAAACATCGTAGGCGAGTAACGACCTCATAGATGGCTCGACCGTTTCGTTAAATTGGGCTCTTTAAATGTTTCATTTGAAACAGATCTTCCTCATACCGTCATTATAAAAAACAATTTATGCTTTGATGTGAACCGTAAACATTACCTTGTTTATCAAAGATTATCTTTATATCTTTTACAGTAAAGTGATACATGGATTGACTTAAAAATTCAATAGATTATGATTAAAGGGATATGTCTATTGTAGTCGAGGGGATTTTTATATTTTTATAAATTTCTTTTAATATTTTATTATATTGTTTTTCTTGTTTACTCAATAGTATTTGTTGTTTTTATTTTAAGACGTTCTGTGTATTGGATTGATAGGAAACCCATCCAGCCAGGTCCAGGCGGTACTACAAAAATTGGTAAGTATCGGTCTATACTCGTCTTATTCATTAGTTTTTTCCAAGATGATTTATCATATTGCCAATATTTGTTATTAGTTTGCCAATATTTGTTATTAGTTTTCTCATATTTGTTATTAGTTTTCCAATATTTGTTATTAGTTTTCCACTATTTGTTATTAGTTCGTCAATATTTGTTATTAGTTTTCCCATATTTGTTATTAGTTTTCCAATATTTGTTATTTGTTTGTCAATATTTGTTATTAGTTTGCCAATATGTGATCCTTAGTTTGTCCTTTTTGGTCATTACTTTGACACTATTTTGATCATGACTTTATGACTATTAATTTGTTCGTTAGCTGGTCAGTATTTTTGCATTGGTTTGTTAATACGTTTAATTAATTTTTTTCTCATATTTCAGTGATAACTGGAAGGGTAGAGGAACTGTCAAAAAGTAAAGATGTTAACAAGGAATATGTTTATCATAGGTAAGAATATCATATAAGAGTTATTGCCCTTGATTTTCAAAATTCCAGTTATGGATACTATGGATCTTGAGAGTTTCTTGGAAAAGACATAGAAATATTTTATTTATTATTGTTCCTTCATATTTTTCAGACCCACGCCCATATGGGAAGTGAAGCCGGGTGCCCTCAAAGCTACAGCATCTGGGCGGGTGGAGCAGCTTAGTTTGCACAAAACATACAATAGACATCAAATGGAAAGACCACCCCATACTACAGTCACAGAGGCAGCAAAATCTGCAAATATCACAGATCGATTGGAAAATTTGGCCAAACCCAAAAACAGGATTGATAGATTTGAAGTTAATGTAAGTGTAAGGGCTCTGAGTTTTAGAGTCTTCAAAAATCATAGTTCATTGCTTAATTGCCCCATCTTGTTGACCTTATTATTTTTTTATGATTTGGTATATTATTACCCCGAGGAAGTATGACGAATGGGGTGTGGTTTGGACACGGTGGTCACTGCTTTACCTGTCCAATCAGGATCATTCATTTTTCTCTTTTTTTCCATATCCAGGAAAAAGAATGGGGAGAAACCCAGCCGGTCTCAGAAGCAGCCAAAAAGGCACGAATAACCGAAAGAGTCGAAAGTTTAGCAGAACCCAAACAGCCACATTCACAATTTCAACCGGCTAAACCTATAATGTGGGAGGTGTCCGATCTCGCTATCAAGGCATTAGCGTCCTTACGACTTCAACAGCTGTCACGACCAAGAAGTCGAACCATGATCAAAGACGATTATGATCCGTACGTAGTGTCCCGTGCGGCGCGGAAAGCCAAAGCAACTGGACGAGTTGAAGAACTCTCTGAGCCTATCGAGAGGAAAAAGCGGGACAAAAAAGTGTAGATGGTCGGGGTGAAAATATCTAAAATAGTTCCTGTTACTTTGGTGGTTTGTTTGCGTCTCTCGTAATTTAAGTCTTTCGTTTCCCGAACAGTATTTTGTAATTGGAAACTTTGGATGCCGAATCATGGCGGGTAAAAACATTTAAGTGTTTATCGGGTGTTGGTAGATACTCAGGGTGGTAATTTAGATCTTTTGTGTTGTAGATGTAATTGAGATCTTCTGGATGGGTGTTGGGATCTTATTGGCGAAAATTTTATCTTCTACTTAGAATTGAAACCTCCTGTTGGTAATTGAGTTTTAATTGTGGTGAATGAGGTCACTGGATGAGAATCGAGATTTCTAAGTTGGGACTGAGATCTTCCGTGAGGAAATTGAGATCCTCTGGGAAAATATTGTAGATGTAGTATAAAGTGTGTATATAGCAAATGTACATTATATAACTTTTAGGGATAACCATTGTTAAGTTATTTTACATTAAATTATTTTTTGTGCATGCTTTTTTTTTTTCGGAGAAGTCGAGTATCTTGGAAATTTCCTCCATTTTTTCTTGAATATTGTTTGTACGATTAGACACAGATTGACGACCGACCTAAATTTTTTTATTACCAATTATTAAAAGTTATTCATCTGTACCATTATATCATTTATTCAAGTGAAACTAAAAATAAACTTTTCATTCGTGAAGATGTCATGAAAAGGGCGGTAGTAGATATTACCTTCGAGATGTTATTCAGATTGTTTAAAATTATAAACACCCATTATTAACATACATCTCTGCTGGGCGGATATACATTTGATAAGCAATAATGTCAAAACTATTCAAGTTTTGGGTAATGGTTAACATGTAGAAGAACTGGAAGGTTTTTGAGGGGGTAAGATAGTAACCAGGAGATACCGAAATTTGCGAAGAAGGAAGGATAGAATTTACATGGGGGTTGGAAGAAGACAGAAAGGGGGGGGGGGGAGAATGGGGATACAGGTAGTTAAGAGGAAAGGAGAATAGGCAAGTAGAGAGAATGACGGGGCAAGAAGAGAAAAAACCAGGAGAAGAGGCAGTCAGGGGAAGTAGAGAGAAAGGCGGAGGATATTGATAGAAACAGGGGGTGGGGGTTGAGAGAGTAGGGCAGATATTAAAAATGGGTAGAGTGCAAGGAGATGAGGCAGAAGGGGGGAATTAGAGAGGAAGGAGAAAAATGTTGACATAGGAAGTAGTGAGAAATACGATAGATTTTGAGAGAAACAGGGGGTTTTAGAGAGAAAGGGGGAATTAGAGAGGAACGAGTAGATGTTGACATAGGAAGTAGAGAGAAAGACGATAGATTTTGTGAGAAACAGGGGATGAGGCAGACAGAAGGGACGATATTGGAAGGAATAGGGGGGGATTAATGGGGTACTCTCTTAAATTGAGAGGTACTCATTGTACCTCCGTGCAATGCTTCGAATTACAGTACTCCGAAGACTTATTATGGATCGCCGATTTACACCGACCTACCTTAACGACTAAAATAGGTTTTAAAAAATTTCCATAATTAGTCTCAGTGGTCAAATAAAATTTGAGAGAATTCCTTCCCTTGAAATAAAACGTATATAGAACGTTACTATTTAAACTTAAAAAAAATGATTCGCGCTTCATACAAATTCCGTTGCAATTCAAAATATTTCGGTTGTAGATTTAAGATCGAGATATCGCCTCTGATGTCTAAAATAATATTCCAGTTGACACAACTTTAATCGGGTTTGGATAGTCCTTTAAAGAATTGCACTTGCTCACCACATTATGCTGAATACCAGGTGCAAATACCAGGTGTAGGATATGCAATAAAAAAATTCAGGAATCTTATGAACTGAAAACAAATCTTAATATTCCAAAATGTTTTTTTAGAAAAGAAAAAATTATTGTAAAATGATCATCTTGTCCGATTTAGCTCGTAATTATTCCCCAATTGTATCTTTTCCGTTGAGCTCCGCCAGTTTTCAATATTTATCGCTCTGCTCATGCGCGCAGGTATATTGTCATTAAGTCGGAAGTAAAGACGACACTTACTAGTGCCAGTTTCCTATTACTGTATATTTTATTGTTAGTGGTCATTATAACAATTACTGAATTGATATACATTAATATACTCCTAAATTACTGTGTAATATACGGATTAATATACTACTGCACGAGAGACAAGTGGGCGTTTAAAAGTCTTTCGTTTGGTGTTTATATCGAGCAGTGATTTGTACGGAATTTTCACCTGTGAAGTAGCCCATATACTTAGGTAGTCAATCAGTACCAAATGGCCTTATGCATATTTTCTTTCGTTTAACGGTAAGTATTGATATATTGTGCATTTTAAATCGAATCTGGAGCAATGAATATCTCCAAACATGTCCTTATTGCGTATTTTATGTATAACACACCTGAACAGCGGGAGTCTTTGATGTTTACCTGTATCTATTTTTAGTAACAAATATTACTATTGTTAAATCTGGGCAACCTTGAGGTTTTACTCGACATTTTAATTTGGCTTTATGTCCATCATAATTGTCGTATATGTCAGGATAAATGATAGAGGGTGACTGGAGATATTTTTTGGGTCAAGGGTAATATGAACAAGGTGATAATAAGCACAGCATATGAAATTTACTGTGTCATTGATATGTGCATTTTCAATGGAGTAACCAAAAGGATTCTTGAAATTTTAAATTTTTGCCAGTCATGTCTGACCTGTCTGTTTCTTCAAAATAAATATAGCATTGGTTTTTCTCCAAGAAAGTATCAGTTTTTAAGAAAACTTGAATTTCCAAATGAAAAATGAAATGATACATGTGGTGAAATTAAAAACCTGCTAATTAGTAATAAATGAGGCAGATAGGGTTAATGAGATTACAGCAGGTAAGATGATTAGATGGGTTAATAAATGTTGGTGATTCATACCTGATTTATTATTGATTGATTAGTAGTCATTAACAATTAGTATTTTTCCTCGTTAGGATATGTCTACCAGTCATTCTGTCATAGTCATTGGTAGAGTAAAGTAATAGGTAATACTTTTTTATATATAAGTTCAATTGATATACAATGAATTTAGTACGAAGGTTTAGCATATGTTGAAGTTATATTGATTTAGTTTTGATGTTTAAGATGGGTTCCCTTATGAAAATGAAAATGCTAATACTTATATGAATAGAAAATAGAGATGCTCAAAAAATAACAGTTTGTTTCACATGTCCATGATTAATTTATAATTAGCTGAATTAGAAGAGAATTACTAGCAGACTGTACATACATGGATATTTATGTTTGGTTAAAATTAAAAATTATATGCAATAAGAACATAATGATATGATTAAGAACACATGATAATTAATTAAAAACACTAAATATTCAAATAGTTTGCTTAATTTGACATTAAAAAATAAGGAAACCCATCTTTAAGTATATGTAGAAGTGGAACATAGTATTTAATACTAAATGTAATGTTTTCCTGGTTAGTATATAACAGCAGTACTTTAAATATAGTCATTGTAATACCAAGACATGTTAGGTTATTCTGGAGGGTTTTAGATTTAAGTTTCAGTTTCATTGGTTTTAAATATACTGGATCTCCCTAAATAAGGCAAAGACTCACATAGGCTTAATTTCACTTCTAATTTGAGCAGAGTTTCAAATTATATTCAACTTTTCAGAAACTGTATGTGCACTTCTAAAATAAAATGGTAGAGTCAATACAATGAAAAAGTGGTAATAAATAGCCTCATTGTAGCTTTCTGTTGATTCAGAATTATATTTTTAAATAATATGATGTAAAATGTTTGCTTTTCCTGTTTGCTTTGAGGATGATAGTTTAGACATTTTAAAATAAAAAAACTTCTAGAAGTACACTTCATTTTGTCACAAATGCAATTACATTCATTCATTTCAAACATTCCTTCAATCATTAGTTTCAAACATTCATCGACCATTCATTCATTTCAACCATTCATTTCAAACTTTGTTTCATTCATTCCAACCATTCATTCCAACCATCCATTTCAACCATTCATTCATTCATTTCAACCATCCATTTCAACCATTCATTCCAACCATTCATTTCAACCATCCATTTCAACCATTCATTTCAACCATTCATTTCAACCATCCATTTCAACCATTCATTTCAACCATTCATTCCAACCATTCATTTCAAACATTCTTTCATTCATTTCAACCATTCATTACAACCATTCATTTCAAACATTCTTTCATTCATTCCAACCATTCATTTCAACCATTCATTACAACCATTCATTTCAACCATTCATTCCAACCAACCATTCATTCCATCCATTCATTCCAACCATTCATTCCAACCATTCATTTCAACCATTCATTTCATCCCATCCATTCATTCCATCCATTCATTTCAACCATTCATTTCAACCATTCATTCACACTTTTATTTCCATTGTAAAGTTTTGGAAATTCAGTTTTTATCCTTTGAATCCAGGAAGTGTGTGGAAGATGACTAAATATATAAAACCAAACCCATTTTTAATCTCATTGATAATCTGGTCATGTGTCCACTTGGCAATGTTGACCAGCTAGCTAGATTGATGTTGACTCTAGAATTAGCACATGGACGCCATTTAAAACATTTCCAAATTGAAAATAGTTTAACAGAGAGCAAAAACATTTGTAGATCATGGTAAGAGATAGTTTTGAAAGAGCTTGGATATATAAGAATAGGAGAAGAAGGACCTTGAGAGGTGGTAGCTTCTCTTAACTAATATTTTTTCTAGCAGTGCTCCAAATATTGAGCAGTGCTCCAAATTCTTCAGGTCCTTAACATAAAATGACAGGTTTCAAGGGTATATAAGCTCTGCTCCCCAAAAATAATTCTGGCTAATGCTCAGAATGATATATATTTCTTGGTATTAGGTATCCTTTTTTAGAAAAAGTGGTTTTTTGATTCCGTTTTCTGTTTTATTAATGATATCCCGAATGGTTTAAAAATGTTGATAAATTAAAGCTTGAATATTCTCACTCTTCGGGTCACAATAAAAAGGATATTTTGAAAGAATTCTTTATATTTAGAGGACAAGATGGTCTGGCGTTTAAAATGTAAACACTCAGTGTTTATTCTTTAAGTGTTTTGTCTTCTAGAGTACACATGGGCAGCCTGCCTAATTCACATTGTCATTCAAATATATGGGTACAGTCACTTTTCTATTTTGATAAAAATTGAACATATCAAAGACCAAAGATCTTGGCAATAATATGGCAATTTATACCTGCCATGATTGCCATATTACAGTTTGTATAGACTATTCATGTAGCCAAATGGCAGAATAAATTAGACTATGCAGACAGCTCAACTTGAGCTCTATCAGCTGGTAAAACAAATATTTAAATGACTGTAAAGATAGCAGAAATTGAGCTCTATCAGCTGGTAAAGTAAATATTTAGATGACTATACAGGTAGCTCTAATTGAGCTCTATTTAGATGACTATACAGATAGCTGAAAATAAGCTCTATCAGCTGGTAAAGTAAATAAATAGAGAACTATACACGAATATTAAATTGTGCTCTATCAGCTGGTAGGGCTAATTTTGAGACACGACATTGACAACTTCTCTCCTTGTAATTTTCTAATCTGACACTTTAAATTCATGTTTAAACAAATGTCATCATCTTAGATTATAGATGACTGGTATATATATATATAACTTCATACTTGTATAGTATATCAATTTGACCTCAATTTATAAACATTTCTGGATTGTTAGCTTTGTTAGACTTCACAAAGAAAGTGATTGAAATTTCAACTGAGATTATCCCAGCTCCTGTGCAACAAGTTTAGGACCAAGCTTATGTTTTTTGTAAAGGTATTTGGATTGTTACTGTTGTAAGATTTCTTAAGGAAAGTTGTTTAAAATTTAACTGAGCTAAATCCAGCTACTTTGTAACAAGTTTAGGAGATTTCAAAGGGAATATTCTTATATTCAATTCCTTGCTTCTGATCAGAAAGATTTTAGTCTCTGAAGCTCCTGTTTTGTAAGTTTTTTTTCTTCTTTTTTTTCCATTTCAGTTGATTGTTGTTTTAAATCATGTTAACTTTGTTGGCTCTAAAACAAATGTGTTCCTTACATAGAGAATTTTCTTTTCGTCAAATCCCAGCTCCTGTCTTATAAGTTTTTCTTTCATTTACTTGGGACCTTGTTTGATAAATCTATAAAAAGTTCAAATTTACTCCCCAAAATATCCCCAATAGTTCAAGTATCGCTCTAAACCAAACTGTCAGATTTTTTTTTAAAGAAACTTTTCCATTCAGGTTTTTTAATTGTTTTTCTTATACCTGACCTGAATAGTTCAATGTTTAGAGGTCGTTTTGGTCTGGTTGAGTTATTTTTGATGATTAGCAACTTGAACATCTTTTTAAAGTTCAATTTTCTTATCTTTAGTTGTTTTTCCTTGTTTTTTTGTGTATGTGTTTATCTTATTTGAAAATCTGACTTCATAAATATTTCAAGGTGAACTTCATCTTCACAATGTCAAGCTGTTACAAGCTTCATCTTATACCTTGATCTCAATAGCCACCTTTCTTGTATCAGTGATTTGATTGGATTGTATGCCAGTGAATACCGCCAATCAGAGCTCTCAGCAAAATACAATCCAGCCAAATAGCTATGTTTACAAAAAGCTGTGATACAAGAGAGGTGATTATTGATGTCAAGGTATAAAACAAAGTTCGTAATAGCTTGACATTGTGAAGATAGTAAAATGTTAATTGGAGATAAACAAATTTAGTTGGTTTGTACTTGCAAAGCTCTTTTGTTGTTCAGAGGCGGCTAGTGTAGCTCGATGAGTTTTTATTCACTTCATTTCACTTCATACACCTGCATTGATGAGGTAAACAGCAAATAGGTAATCTATCAAGCGTAAAATTAGCTTTACAAAATATCTTAAATGTGTAGGCGTTAATTTATAATAGATTGGTTTACTTATAACAAGTGTGTGATAGTGAAAGAGTATTTATTTATATTATGGAAGAATGAATAAATTCATAAAGTGGTGCACCTTTTCTTTATGTTGTCTATCGTGGTGCAGAAAAGTAGATGTAAAACTCCATTCATTTCATTTCATTTCATTTATTTTGTCTGTGTACTTATTACTTAATTTCAGCATGTATCTAATTTATTCTAATTTTTGTACAAAGGAAAAAAGAAAATAAGAAATATCACCACAAAATGAGGTCAGATTAAGAATTGAAGAACCAATCGCACCATGGCAGCTAAAGTAGCTGTTGCACCAGTTCTGTCTGAAGGATTTGAAGATTTTATCAAAGAGTTTCAGGAAATTGAAGATGAGAAAGATGGAGGAGATGAGGAAGAAGATTTACCCAAAACACCTGATGGTAGGTCTCTTATTTTGTTGGCATCTTCAGAAGCTTCTTTAGCTGCTCACAAAGGCGAGGTCTTTGCTCTGACCTTGGCTTAAGTTTGAGATACAGTTCAAAGAGTCCTATGTCCTATTTCAACACATCCTAGTAGTATATAACCACCAAAACTGGTATCGTTCCATTATTTTTTGTTTATGGTTTCTTTTACTAGAAGGAGAAGTGGAGGCAGAGTGGCTGAAGAATGCTGGATATGGGTTCATTGTCAGTAAATTTCAAGGTAATAATCACTTTGTTCAATCATAACTTATATAAACTTTGTGTATTGTGAAATAATTGGCACTAGCATACAGACAAGTTTTTCTAAAGAAGGTTATGTATGTGTATCAAGGTCACTTATAGCATCTATTTAGACCATTCTGATTTGCTACCAGACATCTGGCATTCTTGAAATTTCACAATTGTAAATAAAACCAAACATATTGATCTTCATTCTAGATGGGCGTGATCTCAGTGATGATGAATTGGAAGCTCTGACATCATCACTAACCAGAAAACAGGCAGAAGCTGTGAAGAAACGAGTGGATACCCTTAGTACCACCATGAGGAAGCACAAACACACTCAGAAAGTTCATGTTAAAGATATTTTTAACCCTCCTGATGATCCGGTACGGATGTTATTTTTAGTTCTTGTGAGAGCTTTGGGGTCAGTTTAACAATCCCAATTATACAGTTTTGCTGGATCCATGATAGTTCTTGCCTTTAGGGAATTTGTTCATCCTCAAATCTTTTTTCAGGGAACAACTTCAGCATCTTCGGATACATCAAGGGGAGATAAGCCTCCCTCGTCACCAGAATCTGGCCAAGGACCACAATTTGGTTATCACAAAAATCGTGATAGAACTGCATTTTTAAAGAAGAGAGAGTACTCTATGTCTGGATTACATACATTGGAGGTCTTAAAAAATGATGTTGAATCTGGTGAGATTTTCTTTTAATGACACTGATGATCTAGTCCAATCCTACGATTAATGACTCTTAACTCTGATAGAGTGTCAGCCAAATAAAAGGCATAAAAAACCTTGGAGATTTTATTTCACAAATGCCTTTGCAAGAAAATTCAAAATTGTCCATATACTTTGGATAAATATACTATGGTTTGTCCTCAACTTCGAGTTGGCTTACTGTGGAGGCTTACCCTTGTCCAACGAGCTGACTATAGCTAATGCTTTAAAGATATCTCACTAGCTAAAAACTGAACCAGAGTAGCCGATATGCAACTTCCTCATCTCTTTATCCCAAGATGCAGTATGGTGTAATCCACCTTTTTGTGCAAATTTCAGGTGTTCAGGGAATAAGCTTTAAAGCCAAGTTAACCCAAGGTAAAAAGAAGAGCTATAGAGATGGTTTTGGAGGTCCGGCATTACCAGCTATATCTGATAGTGATATTACTATAGATTTTCATATCCGAGAAGTACCAGTAAGTCTGTTTGTTTTCAATAGGAAACTTCTATATTTTATAAAGGATGACACTTAAGTATTCTTAACTCCTTTTCCTTGGTCGAACCTTTTGGCATTGATTTTCCTCCAAAGATCTGTACCCATTTATAGATTTGTTGAATTGATTTAATTATTTTTCAGACACAACAAAAAGTAGGCCACCATCTACCTGTAAGTATTTTAAAGAACTAAAATGATATTTAACAAGCCCATGGGTAAGGGTGAATCTGTAAAAAGAATTCAAAATATAAAGAATGATTTTGACAAATTAAAAAATGAAAAATCTTTGTGAAAGGATCTTCATTATTTATTTTTTTATTTTTTTTTAAGCTGGAGCATACTTCCTCTTTAAGAGAAAATATTCCTTTTAATAGTAATTAGTTGACTTCCAGGTATTTGAGACAAAGAATGATAAAGGAGGGGTAATAAAGATAGGTGATGTCAGCTCAGAGGACATGGTACGAATCAGATCTCTGGCGTTAATAGAACTTTCAGCGTTATTTGATTCCTGTAATATAGTCTATACTAAATCCAAACGAAAAATCAAGTCCAAAGGTAACAAAAATTAAGTTAGAAATCTCTTGGTCTACTATCATATTACATGCTTTTAAATTCTCTTAAGTTTTTTGACATTGTTTGGCATAAAATGACATTGTTTGACATATCTGAATAGTATTTGACATATTGTTGACATATTGTTGACATATTTGGCATATTATGACATTGTAAGGTTGTTTATGATATTTTGTGATTATTTGACATATTTTGAATTTGTTAGACATATTCTAATACTGTTTAAAGTCTTTGCAATATTCAACAGTTTTTTGGATATATTTTGATATTGTTGGACTTTTTTATGAGAACAATTTGTAGTGTTTAATATATAATTTGTGCTTTAGATCATGGTTTATTTGGAGTTCCCCTACACACTCTGGTAGAACAGGATCAGAAGAAAGGCTATCAGACTCAGGTTCCTCTTATATTTACTAAGGTCAGTTCCTATTCAATTATTCATTTATTCATTCATTCATTCATTCATTTATTCATTTATTCATTTATTCATTTATTCATTTATTCATTTATTTATTATTCATTTATTCATTTTCTATTTTATTTATTCCATAATTTTTATTTATTTTTACATTTGTTAATTCATTATTATATGTTCTTTGATTATTTTCAGTTGATAAGTCACCTGGAAAAAATAGGATTAACTACAGAAGGTATTTTACGAGTTCCAGGGGCTGTAAATAGAGTCAAGGTAATCTACATTAAAATACTGCAAACCAGGGTGCACATTATTCAAGGTGACACAGATTTTTACAGATTTACTGGAGGGTAAAAAAGTAGTGTGGATTGTACAATATATTCACTAGTATAGGGCCCTTGATTGAGAAGTAAAACCTTGGCTAAATTAGTGACCAGAATATTGCCCTGGTGAATCAAGGGTTAGTTGTTGTTTCAACTCGTACACCTTCAGCTTATCAAGATGAGGTTTGTCACATCTTTTTGTGAATCCCTTTCAGCAACTTCGTCAAGAATTGAACGAGAAGTTTTACTCTGGTCATTTTAACTGGGATGAGATGTTACCCAATGATGTTGCCGCCATCATGAAACAGTTCCTGCGAGAGTTACCAGTTCCATTGTTAACATATGATTATATTGACGCCTTTTCCTCAAGTATCCAGTAAGTAATTCTTATTGTACATCAGGGAAAGATCAATGCAGTTTGGCTTAGGAACAGCTGGTAGAAAGATCAATGCCAAGAGATTTGGCTTAGGACCAGCTGGTAGAAAGGATCCTTTATTGTGAACCCATGTTGTTATCCTTTTATTGCCGTTGGTTCTTTGGAGACTAAGGGATGAGACATACACTAGATCAACAATATCTATATTGCAATTTGTGCCATTTATTACTTTGTTTTGTAGATCTGAAATCCACATTAGAACAGTTATATGCCCTCAATTTATTGATATTGTTACTGCCAGATTGTCACAGAGACACATTAAAGGTATAGTTTTCTTTTGTTTGGACACATTTGATAGACATGTTTTGACTCATTTGATTGACATATTTTGACTTATTTAATTGACATGTTTTAACTTTTTTGATTGACATGTTTTGAGTTATTTGATTGACATATTTTGACTTATTTGATTGACATGTTTTGAGTTATTTGATGGACATGTTTTGAGTTATTTGATGGACATGTTTTGAGTTATTTGATTGACATGTTTTGAGTTATTTGATTGACATGTTTTGAGTTATTTGATTGACATGTTCTTGATTTTTTTGATGGATTTATTTTGACTAATTTTATTGACATGTTTTTGATTTACTTGATGAACATATTTTGACTTATTTGACTTTGACATGTTTTGACATATTTGATGGACATATTTATGCATATTTTATGGATAAGTAATGTCTTATTTCAGAGAATTTCAGTGCTGACCTATACTTTGATTAATTTCATTACAACTTTGAATTTTGCATTTCAGTTACTAATTATGTTCCTAAGAAATGTGGTTGCCCACAGTAACGAGAACAAAATGGGACTGACCAATGTTGCTATGATCATGGCTCCAAATCTGTTCCTGGTACCTTCCAGTCGTAAGATTAAAACGGTCCAAGAGGTTGAACTAAACAGAGCTGCAGGAACCTCCAAGATCATCACATTCTTGATAAACTATCAGGACCATTTATGGAATGTAAGTTTAATTTGGAATATGATGGGCTTCGTGATTCCACTTTTAGATCTCAAAGTAAAAACTGAGAACAGCTGTGGCTCTTGATTGCTATCCTAGGGGTCAGGGGTTCAATCCAAGCATAGGTCACAATGATATCTTTTGATTTTTCAACCTGGTTTCCCCTTGTCAATGATGCTTGTCAGAGAGAAAATGTGTCTAGTTGTTTGGATAGGACATCAAACCAAGGCCTTTGTGTACTACAGGCTGTGCATGATCCCTCAACAGTTGGTAAATGAAGCAGAGCATCCTTTTGTCATTAATCCTTAGAAAGAGTTGTGTATTAAACAACAGTGCATATTGTACTCAGGATTATAAGTTAACGATGCGCTTGTCTTCTCTTTCCACAGATTCCCTCTTCCTTCATCACCCAGATCAGACATCAGTATGAAGTTGATCAGAGACGGAAAACCAGAGATAAAAGGGTATGTTGAAGTCTTGTACCTTGTAATTAATAAGTCAAAACATGTCAATCAAATAACTCAAAACATGTCAGTCAAATAAGTCAAAACATGTCAATCAAATAACTCAAAACATGTCAGTCAAATAAGTCAAAACATGTCCATCAAATAACTCAAAACATGTCCATCAAATAACTCAAAACATGTCAGTCAAATAAGTCAAAACATGTCAGTCAAATAACTCAAAACATGTCAGTCAAATAACCCAAAACATGTCAATCAAATAACTCAAAACATGTCAGTCAAATAAGTCAAAACATGTCCATCAAATAAGTCAAAACATGTCTATCAAATAAGTCAAAACATGTCAATCAAATAACTCAAAACATGTCAGTCAAATAAGTCAAAACATGTCAATCAAATAACTCAAAACATGTCAATCAAATAACTCAAAACATTTCAATTTAATAAGTCAAAACATGTCAATCAAATAAGTCAAAACATGTCATCAAATAACTCAAAACATGTCCATCAAATAACTCAAAACATGTCAATCAAATAAGTCAAAACATGTCAATCAAATAACTCAAAACATGTCAGTCAAATAACTCAAAACATGTCAATCAAATAACTCAAAACATGTCAATCAAATAACTCAAAACATGTCCATCAAATAAGTCAATCAAATAACTCAAAACATGTCAGTCAAATAAGTCAAAACATGTCAATCAAATAACTCAAAACATGTCCATCAAATAACTCAAAACATGTCTATCAAATAAGTCAAAACATGTCCATCAAATAAGTCAAAACATGTCAATCAAATAACTCAACTGCACTAGTAAATGTGTGTAATGAGCGCCCTTACTTACACATAAGTAAATTTGGTAAAAATCTGGGAATAAAATGCACCTTTTCTGGATGAAAAAATCAACCCTCCCATGCCAAATGTTTGTGGTTTGTGGGGGCATGCTTAACTTTTTTCAAAAAAAAGCTTAGTCTTCACTTAAATGTCTTTCTTTTCAGATTTTATTTAGAAGAAAAGATAAGAGTGAAGTTTATAAAAAATCTCAGGAGGTAAGGTGCTTGTTCTTCATCTTCACTGACCTTAGCATCGTCAGAATCCTCAGGATCTTTAGCATCTTTGGAGTCTTCAGAATTTTCAGGAGCTTCAGAATCCTTAGCATCTTTGGAATTTTAAGAATCCTCAGCATCTATTGAATCTTTGAATCTTCAACAGCTTCAGGATCTCAATCTGTTGTTTGGATCTGGTACTTATCCCTTTAAGGATAGTTGATGAACTGGCATATGAAGATTGAAGATGCTGACACTTCATATGACTTGTTCAGCTGTTGGCATTCAAATGTGAGATAAAGACCTAATACTGGTGGTGTACTTACCAAAGGAAACCGTGAAGGTCTTCAGAAGAACACACATTATAACCATTTGTACCCTCTGTTTTCAGCCAGAACCCCAGGATGGCGTGATCAGGGTGCAGGCACCCCTTTTAACCAAGAGTTCAGCTTTGATCCAGCTAGATGACAAGATGTCTGCCTCAGACGTGGTGGCTAGGTTTAAAAGAGCTACTGGGTCACACAACGACTCAAATAGGTAAGTTTAATTCCAAAATCTTTGACCACATGGGAATTTTGGAAAGCCTGTTGGGCTTTACATGCCAGTAGGTGGTCTACTGTTTAGCTAATAGCTGACATGGACATTTTCAAGAAGATCTGATGCCACGTCTGCATCTCTTTTGGAGTGTCCCAATGACTCATTAAGCAATTCTTGATGCAATCTTATGGAAGTTGTCTACTGAAATAGGCTTTGTTGGATGTTGGTTTTTCTTCTTGTATTATTGTTCCTCTATATTTCAGTGATCATACAAACGGTCAGAGTCAACCTGGCTCAACTTTCCGTAACCCTGACAACGCTCAGTTTGCAGAAGACAATGCCTATCTGTATGAAGTGGGAGGAAATATAGGTAAGTGTCATGCTTTTTGTTTTATCCAGCTGACTGATGATGGATCTTATTTCTTGAACACATATTGACAGTGGAAGATGAGCTTTTGATTTCCTACCTCCATTTCGTGTCTGAAGAGTCTGTGGACAGTTAGCGTTTGTTTCATCCTTAAATTGCGTCTTACGAATCGAAGCAAAGTGAAAAGTTGAGTGTTTTTAGAGTGTCTTCACTGCACTTTCAAGATCCCTTAACAGTTGTAATGGGTGACTATTCAACAAAGTTCCCCTAATTAATCACTGCATTACTTGAAAGTTTTTAGAGACAATCTGTGTTAGTTTGGAAACTTTATATTTTCTTCTACTTTCTTTTCAGGGGAACGCTGTATAGAACCAAGAGCTCACATGTTATCTATTTATAGAACTAATCCACATGCACAATGGATTATAAAGGTTAAGACTGATAGGTAGCCATGGTAACTTGGTTAATTAGGTTTAATTGGTAGCCCTGGTTACTTTGTAAAGCTTAATGGATAGCTACAAGGTAGTCATGGTTACTTAGTTAATCAGGGTTACTTGGTAAATCTTGGTTACTTGGTAACCTTGTTACTTGGTTAATAGGAGTTACTTTGCAGCCATGGGTATCTTTGGTTACATAGTTGATTATGTGGATATTGTAGCCTTGGTTACTTTCAAGGTTACCTGGCATTCAATAAAGTAATGGACAGTTATGCAAGTATGATATTTGTCACTTCTTACAGATGTATGATTTCCTTATTATGTTAGTGCAATCTATGCCAAAATTTCTTCATCTTGTATTATAATTAGTATTGTGAATGATAAAATTTGGTGTGTATGGCAGAATTATCTAAATAGTATTTGATTAGAAAATACATTTGCATTTTGTTAGTAGGTCACAATATATCCAAATGAAAGGCCAGATCTGGGTCACAAATTCCATTTTAGATCATTACATATACGTATGTCAATTATATGGATAATATGCCAATTTTTATGTCAATTTATAGGTCACAAGTCAGTACATATGTCAATTTATAGATCACATGCCAATACATATGTCAATTTATAAGTCACATGTCATTACATGTATCAATTTATAGATCACTTGTCAGTACATGTGTCAATTTATAAGTAAACATGCCAGTACATATGTCAATTTATAAGTAAACATGCCAGTACATATGTCAATTTATAGGTCACATGTCAGTACATATGTCGATTTATAAGTAACATGCCAGTGTCAATTTATAGGTCACATGTCAGTACATATGTCGATTTATAAGTAACATGCCAGTGTCAATTTACAGGTCACATGTCAGTACATATGTCGATTTATAAGTAACATGCCAGTGTCAATTTATAGGTCACATGTCAGTACATATGTCGATTTATAAGTAACATGCCAGTGTCAATTTACAGGTCACATGTCAGTACATATGTCGATTTATAAGTAACATACCAGTTTCAATTTATAGGTCACATGTCAGTACATGTGTCAATTTACAGATCACATGCCAATACATATGTCAATTTATAGGTCAAATGTCAGTACATGTGTCAATTTATAGATCACATGCCAATACATATGTCAATATATTGGTAATTATATTGAAAACAAATTGTTTATACAATATAATTATTTTGTTTATTTTGTGAGAGATATATGTTTATTTGTTGTTATTGTTATTATTATTGTTTATGTACAAGGTAATTTGATATCCATTGTTCAGCATCACAATTCTGTGGATTTACATTCAAACTTTTCGTTATTTCAGATTTTTTTAATGTGGGCTACAGAATTTAGAATTTTCAAGTGTTTGGATGTTTATTTCAATAATTAAAGTATCGTTATATGAAATATTCTATTGTTAATTGGCAATTAATTGAAATATTCCTTGGTTATTAAGTGAAAAATATCTTTGGCAGATATATTATCAAGTGAAAAATGTCTTTGGCAGATATATTATCCAGTGAAAAATGTCTTTGGTAGATATATTATCAAGTGAAAAATATCTTTGGCAGATATATTATCCAGTGAAAAATGTCTTTGGCAGATATATTATCCAGTGAAAAATGTCTTTGGTAGATATATTATCAAGTGAAAAATATCTTTGGTAGATATATTATCCAGTGAAAAATGTCTTTGGTAGATATATTATCAAGTGAAAAATGTCTTTGGTAGATATATTATCAAGTGAAAAATATCTTTGGTAGATATATTATCCAGTGAAAAATGTCTTTGGTAGATATATTATCAAGTGAAAAATGTCTTTGGCAGATATATTATCCA